TTTGGGTATGAAATGTCTATTTTCTTTTGTCGATATTTTTTAAAAGAGTTGTTTGACTGACAAAACAAATATCAGACAAAAATATTTAGTCGACAATACAAGACATATACGACAACAGCTGTGATTTTTATCCAAACATCCCTATAGTGTGTTCACTCACTTTTTCATCCGATTCCCACTGATTACAGGATTAGGAGAGGAATGGTATGAGAATATAAAAAACAAGAATTTTTWAAACTTATTTGAATTAACGACACAAATGAGTGGCAAACAAGACATCGGCGGATAATATAAATATATATACAGTATATATAAATTGAAAGTGTGATTACAATATTGAACGAAACGATGTGTAAAGTAAGTGATATCGGAATGTCAGTTATGTTGACAATTATTTTTGCATTGTTTTTGTCATTCACTCTATAATTCAATGTTAAGCCTAATTGCAAACAGCAATCACTCTAACATTCCTCAATGTTGAGTCAATTTTGGCATAAAATCTAATTTTTGTTTAAAGAGTTTAGCGAAAAGGGGTTTCAATTATATTGTTTGACAAGATTTGAGACAAACAAATGTGGAGCAAATGTTTTGCACGTGAAGTGTGTGACTACTAGTCATGCGATCAAATGCTAAGCAAAACAACATTAGTTTCAAACCTATGATATAATAGCAAAGCAAACGGCTTTTCGAGAGTAGCTATGATTTTGCTTTTGGCCATTGATTTCAATTTCATTGCTTACTAATACAACTAATACTAATACCAATACTGTATTAATGATTTTTGCTGTGAATCAAAATAAATAACTTTATTTTCTTCTTTTATTTCTTTCTTTTTATTCTCACATTATAGCAGAAGCCTAATAATAATATAAAAAGACTTTAACAACAATAATAATTCAAAGAAAATGCCAATCAATAAGTGAAAGTTGAGTTTTACTTGAAGTTAGTGTTGAGTTTATAGTGTAGAGTCTCAGTAATTATTCTTTTCAAATGATATATTATTGTAACCAAAATAAAAGCAAAATAATTCTCTCATTAGAGTAAAAGGTAAACCATTTGATATATACATTAGTTTACAGAAAAAAATAAAAGGACAGACAGTTTCACATTATATACAACACTACAGTATATATGCACTCCATTACTGTCTTTATGTTAGATCTTCTTCTTCCTGTATTATTTTGTCTGAAAATCCTTTAATAGATATATATTTTTTGCAGTAATATCTAGTAATGATTGGATGATTTAAATGATATAAGGGATAAAAGTGTTGTGCCATTAGAAATGCATTTATGATTATTTAATAGTTGTTTTGTTGGTTACGGTGTGTTATACTGTATAATAAATCGTTGTCTCAATTCCACACAAATTCGTTGTTTTAGATAAATGATGTTTTTATTATATTACAGWTTTTTTTTGTTTATTGCATTTTTTTATTAACTTATTTTTACCTAACATTTGTATATTTAACATGTATACATAGTATGCATATACTGTATATAAATAATAAAATAAATTTATGAATATATAACTACTAAATGAATACATATATGAATACAATTTTTAAATTCTACAGAGAATTTGAAAAAATATTTTTTTATTGTTGAAAAAGCTATATTTAAATGTTAGTTATTTTTTATTAAAGTCTTATTTGAAAATATTTTAAACTATATATTTCTATTAACTAATCCCTAGCCATATATTTTAAGCAAAAATATATTATATTTACTGATTCTAAGACTAATAAATAAATATATATATATATATTAAGAAAGACTGTAAAATAAGACATTTATATGTTTTGTAACTATAAATTATAATCACATGAGATATAAATTTAGTAGACATTGCTCTAAATGTTATAGCAATAGTTATTTGTTAATAAATTTAAWTTTTTTTACAAGAAAAACTAATTTTATTAATTGATCTATAGTGATTTATAAAAATAACATTTTTGTTTTTATAAAAAAAATTATAAATAATGTGAAATAGTGTTTTGTCTTTTTAATTATTTATTAAAATTGTTTTAGATTTAATGTTATAAAAAGGAGTATTTTTTATAATATTTGATTTGATTTGCGGTTCTTTTTATCTTTGAAAACAAGATTACATATAATTGTATTGACAGTTAAGTGCATCGCTTTTATAACACAACATATTTTGTTATTAAATGATTGGCAAAAGCTAATCATTGGCCATACAATCAAAATTACAACACATCTAAACATATCTAATAAATTATTTGTATTTCATTTTACTAATAGATCGTTAGGTAAAAGATTAATGTGAACTCTCATTCATTACAAGTTTGGCCTAAAAATGCTAGATATACAGTATGTTGTGCTAAATATTGGTTATATAATAGCTTAATATCTCAATATTCAATGATATTTAGAATTGTTGCGGTTATTATTTTGAAAAAATAAATATTGTTAATATTGATTCTATAAATATAGTTTTGTATAACTGTATACATAAATTTTAATAAGAAAATATGCACAAAATTATTTCTACATTTTATATAAATATAATACATTTATTCTTAGTTTTAAAAATATATCTCATTATTAAAAAACAAAAATATATTATATAAACTTAGAATTAAAATAAAACAAACACTCTTTTGAGTATTCAAATATATTACAATATTTCTATAAATTTCTGATTATGAAAACATATTTGATATAATGCTATATAAGTTGTATGTACTGTATGTATGTTTTAAAAATTAATTTAAAAAACTATTTTTATAAATACTTGACAATTCAAATAACAGATTATCTATTCATTTATTTTATTCCTAAAATGTGTAATCTTTGTATTTGTATAAATAAAAATATATTCATTGCATTTTCTACATTGAATGCAATTGTATATAACATGTAATAGTATATAGTTTATGAAAAAAGATGTAATGAAATACATTGAATATATATTGTAATAAAAGCCAAAATAATATAATATAAGCGCAATACTAATCCGCAACACTTTATTGTAATTAACTGAGCATTAGTTGAACACATGAGAGCACATAACTGTTGTCTAATCCATCTTTAACTGTATTTTATATGTAATACTCTCTTAAACTATATATTTGAATACAGAGAGTGGTTTGTAGAGATTTTTTTCATTTCTTTAATAGCAATGCAAATAAAATGATCCAAAAAGAGAGAGAAATGAGTGTAGATTTAGATGATCTATCAAAACGCTATGAATTATCTACTTTTATGTACTATTTATATCTAAAACATGACATTTAGTTTACATATTTCTAGTATTTTGATTATCAATAGTATGTCTATCAATAGTTTGAATCATTTTGTATTACGACTCTTATCGTCGATAGTTTTTAAGCAATGATTTGTTAAATAATGACTTTTTCAATATTTTGTAAATAATATTACGGTATATATATATACTGCATATACAATATATTATACAAAATAYATCAGTATATTGTATGATAAATACTATTGAATATAGGATGTGCCCTTAAATAGACTGAATATACTATGTATGCTTGAAATCATAAATCTTAAATCACTTGAAAAGGGTCGCAATAGTGGATAAAAGGCAAGATATTCGGTCCAAACATTACAATACTGTTTGTGTGAACTTAGCATCCATTAGATGTCTACCATATATTCCTATCCATTAGATGTGTAGATTATGTCTCAAACTTTGTCGATGACTTTCCTTTTTTTAATACACACAAATGTATGACTTACATATGATATATATATTTTGCCATAAAAAGATAGAAATTGTTTTTCCTAAAAATTCTTACAAAAATACATTATATTTCTATAAAAAAAAACTTTTGTTCATTAGTTTCAAGTCATAAAAATTTATGATATATGTGACATACTGTTTGATATTAAAAAAACAGCTAACAATCAAACAAATTGTGATATAAAATATATTAACATTAATTTTATTTATAAAACAATTCTTAAAAGCCTATCCAAAAAATATACAGTAATTTTCTCCTCTTTATTAAACTTTTTATTATATTTATACGAAACAAAATTACTATTAGACAGTATCTATACAGGTAAAAATTTATTATAATAGTTATATATAAATTATAATAATATTTTATAATTTATATATAAAAAAGCTTTTGAATTAGTAGGAAATCCATTAAAATATTTGCTGAATTGGTATTATTATCTTTTTTTTTTGCTAGTAATTCACACCAAACACACATACAGTACATACTCTCAGATCTATTCTCTAATTTTTTCTTAGATTTATTTTATATATTATTAATCTAATGATTTCTCGACGAGAAGGCATGAGTTCAATGCCTTATATTTTTTTATTAGCGTCACTTTAGTTTTACTTAAAATAATATATATATTTCTTAAACAAAAAACAAATAAAACACTTTTTTCATTTCACTATTTTAAAAAGTGCTTTGTTTGCATTTAGCTATTATATACATATGTGTGTGTGTTTTGGTATAAAGATAAAGTTTAAACAAATTTAATGAAAATACTGTACTCTTTACTGGTATTATACAATTTAAATGACAAAATTTTAAATTACCACCTCTTCTGTTATTATGGTCATGAACTCTGGTGTCAGTAACTAATTATATTAAAAATGAATAAAATTTTCAGATTTTCAACAAAAAAAAAATATCCTAAGGTTTATAAATTATATAATTTTATTATATATTTATGTCATAATATCACGTCTCTAAATTCCATACAATTTTCTATTATTTTTTATTGTTTCATATATTGTAGACATGAAACTTATTTTATTGAAAACAAATTTTTTGATTGGTTTCGTGATGTACTACTAAAATGATTATATTGTACTTTAATATTTTTGTTATTTACAATAAATTTTCTTACATTTTTATTTTTAATCATAATTTATCACATTTTTATTATTTATTCTATACTTAAAGTTATATTCAAAGTTATTATTCTTTAACTGAAAATTCTGTTAATCCTTTAAATTATAGATAAGGACACACTTGTGGCCAAACGTCATACACACTCACATACAAACATAAAGCACTGGTAATAGTCGTGAATGACTACCCTATGAAAGCTATTTACAAAATAAATGATCCAAAAGTAAACTTTAAAATTGCGAACAAAATTAAAGTCATATCTAGTTTTTTGAGAGCCATTTGGATGTTTGAAGTTATATTTAAGACATAATTGTGTGGAAATGACCTCATCATCCAGTGATACGACTAATAGCTCACTGACGGGTACATCACCGTTGATTAGCAAACTGTCCATAACTCCCGTCATTACTACCGATCCCTCCACTATAAAGAAAGGTCTACTTTGGCAACAAAGAGACCGATTTTTTAGCCGTTGGAAAGAAAGATATTTTGTCTTAACAAAGGATTATTTTTCGTGCTTTAAGAAGGGATCTAAAGTAGGGATGTCTGAAATGGGAAGCTTTATGTATAAAGTAATGTTAATATACTTATCTTTATATATATATAAATTTTTATATGTTTTATTTTGGCATTAATGACAAACCATTTATATAATGCAGTTAACTCTAGTAGATGTTGAGGGTCTCAATTGGGCCGATAAGAAAAGGGATGGAGTTATAGCCATTCGGGTGAGTCTTCATTAGTATTAACAGATATGTCGTACGAACTGCTTGTGGACATAAAAAGTATATAATATTTATCCTAACGATTGCATAGGTGGGCACTGAAGGACAGTTACTTTTGTGGACCAATTCAGGTTTGGATGAGTGGATGTTTGCTTTGAGAGAAGCCGTTAACAGAAGTAAAGGCAGAAGAGAAGCCTTACGTAAATCACAAACATTATTGCCGTCAATGACTGGCGGAAACATTTGGAACCGGTATGTGATTATGTCTTTTACTTTAATGATTTAATTGACAATTAATGTTCATTTTTGTCCATTCCTTGCTATTACTCTTAAATAATAACAAATAGTCATTAATTAAGAGACCAATACTATAATGAATTGAATGTTTCTTTTAGCCAAAAGATAACTTCATTGCACTACCAATTGACTGACAGTGCCATCGGAGCCAGTAATACAACATCACGATTACAAAGAGCTACCAGTGCTGATTTCACCAATTGTGACGATGCAAACCGTCAATTAAGGTCAACCATTCATCACAATCCCACACCAGTACTGAACCGACGCCTACAACGTATATCAGGTTTGTGTTGATTACAGACACAGCTTTTGATTTATCATTTTATTCATTGTCATCAATACCAGTACTGAACAAACATTTAATGCATTGCTAACCCATTTGACATATTTTCTGCTTTTGACATATTCTTGAACTACAAATGAATTCAATGATATCTACTATTGAATCAAATATTTGTTACTTATATTACAGTTTTAACAAACATCGATCTGAGTCTCGAGAGAGACGCGAGTAATAGGAAATCAGTTGCTGTTACTGATGACCAACAACACCAACAAATGATACCGAATAGGGCTGGTCTTCCTCGACTCGCTCCACAATGCGGTGGTAACGTCACTACTAATGGCAATCAAGTGGCCAACAGTTCACAGCACAGCTCTTTACAGTCGTTGGTATCATTGGGTCGAACCACTGGACACTTGATTAGCAATCAACTAAACAGACCGAGTCCTCGATCATTGCAAGTGTCACCAGCTTTGACACAACGATCACTATATGCACAACACATACTATCTTCGCCTGAGATAATTGGTATCAATACAACTGATTCAAGACACCATCAAATGGCTAAATCTGCTCTGAAAACTGCAACTTCAGAATTTTCATTTATTAGACCTGACTCTCCCCTAACACTTCCTCATAATAGCCACATATCAACTGCCGGTAATAATCCAAAGAGACCACAATATCAACGATCGCAAAGTTGTCTCGAACCGCAACAAAAGGCTGATTCACAAAAGTTTGCTAATCATATCTCCAATGGAGTAAACAGATCGCAATCGGCTTCAACTAAGCAGACAATGGAAAAAATGATACAACAATCTACCCGTCCATCCAGTATTTATGGTCAGCCATCACTAACAGATAGGACTTCATTTAGTGGCAATCGAGTCAATCATAACAGTAATTACCGTATAGAAGAATATGTTAGTTCTGGTGACCCATCGATTGGTTTAACAGCTAATAATGGACACAACGGTTACGCAAATATGATGAACGGCAGAGTAGGTGTGAGAGACACTAAGTCAATGCCAAAGAGACATATTAACAGACACTATAAGCCTTCAAAGTCCGACACTGTTTTTGCCACAACTAATAGACTTCACTCCATAAGTAGTAGTGGAGAGAAAAGTCCTATTAATGAAAGTAATGTCTCGACAAACGATAAACTAATTAATAGAAAGAGAATTCAATCCAAAGAGCTGTTTGCCATCAGATGATTGAAATGTGTTGTCATTACTTCACTTCATTTGATTGATAGCACTGCCCTTTTGAGACAAAAAAACTGATAAAAACTTTGTAATAATAGCTTTTTTTATTTACTTAAATTACTAAAGCATTTGTTAATAATAATTTACAACATTTTTTTGTATATAATATATAGAAATAATATTGTATACAATCAACAAAAATATTAATGTTTTTTATACCTATATAATATTATTAATAATCTGTATAATACTATAGTGCCAGCAATACTTTTAATACCGGTAATATATTGTAATAATAATAATAATAATAAGTAAACTATAATGTAATTTATATGAGCGTAATATAATACTGTATGATGCCTTTAATTAGCATAAAATTAGTAGATTATGAATTTTTAATATTATTTACAAGAAAACTATAGGGAATCTAATAAAATAAACAAATTGTGTTTTTTGGCTAACATTTTAATTTGAATTTATGCACACAATTCGTGTTTGTTTTGGAAAATTTATTGAAGGCATAAATCATATACAGCAGTAGTTTTATAAAGTTTATGATCATATTATACATTATATATTATATTGTATAAGCAAGTAATGTAATGTTTTGTATTATTGTTTACATAAGAAATGTTTTTACACAAAAAAATAACAGAATCTCAACTAAAATTTATATACAATTTTTACCATTTATCAAACAACTTATTTTATTGTAAATATATTTTATTTTGACTATGTTTTTTCAATTTATCTAAATATCAACATTAATAGATAAACAAGATTAAATAAAAATTATTGATTTAATTATATTATTAGCTATGTTTAAATAATATAATTAAATATAAATAGTATCTATATTTTAATTTTTATACATAACTACTTATTTGTAAATTATTTACTAAATAATTGCTATAATTAACTGTTAATTGTCTGGTCATTAAATGTTTTCAATTTTTATAAATATATAGGTATTAAAATTGTAGAGCACACAATAATTCTGTATTACTAATTGTAATAATAATTTTAATGATATGTAAATTTAAGTGTTATATAAAAATATAGAAATATATTGTTTTTATATATACTGTTAAATGACTGATTGATTATTTTTGTCTCTCATTATTGTGTGATATGTATTCAATATTAATTTAATTATAAAACCTTTATATTAATGTGAATATACAGAGAAAACTAATATAAAAAATAAGAATTAATTTTATTTTCATTCCCAAAGGATTAGCAAAAATCGGATGATATATATTATTGTATAAAATGATATTGTATTGTATAGCATAATATTATATATATAAATACATATATATGTACAGAATATTGTATTATATAATACTGTGGTAATGGTTAGGGGGCGATGAACTAACTGGTGATCAAAACAATACTGCTATAGCAGTGTTATTGAGCGCCGGTGCCAATGAGCTCCGGTAGTCTCACACTCTATGGCTTTCATATCGTCAAAGTATAAGAATATTCTGTAAGCAAAACACATTCGTTGCGAAAAATTGCTAAAATAAAAACATTTTTGTGAATAGACTTTAATTCCTTTTTCCATAAATAAAAACAAAACTTAAATAAAAGCCACTTTTTCTTATTATTATTATTATTATTATTATTATTATTATTATGACTAAACATTAAAGTTGTTATTATTGTTTACAATAATACCAGAATATATTATAGTTGTAAATGAATAAAGCGTTTATTAAAAAACAAAGATAATATAAATACATTTGACGTAAATGTGATTTCATATTATTAATGAAAATAAATTATTGATATTTTATGTCACTTAAAAATGACTACTTTTTTAATCTTTGACAAACATTTTTTACTCTATCTCTATTGGTTATAATAATTGTTTTGATAACAAAATTGCTTTTTGATTATTATAATTAATCTGATGTCAACAGTAATGATAATTAGCATCATATGAGTGATTATCATAATACTCATTACATATCATTTATAATATCATATACAGAATTACTAACAAATCAATAAACAGTATTCATTAAACTGTTGTGTTGTACAGTGTATGTCATCTTTAAACATGAAATTAAGGTCAAAGTTGCAGATGTAGTAGTAATAGTAGTAGTAATGGCTATTTTATTATAAAATGTCTAAATTATTTTTGCTGATTATCATTAACTTAAGATAATAGATTATTTTTATACTTATATTTTTATCATTTTAGATAGAAAAATAAGAGTTAAAATAACTATTTTTAATTTTTAAAAGATTTTAATTAATTATTTTAATTTATATTAAATGATATATATATATATATATATATCATATATATAATGAAGAAAATCATATAAATAATGTTTGAATAATTTATGATAATTTCTTTAAATATTTTTAAAAATTTAAATAAAACTTTAATAATTAGCATTTATATAAATGCTAATATTTACCTATTTCTATTGTTGTATATACTAGCTTTATATAGCTTTTCAAATTAGTGTTAATTTTGATATATAATCTTAATGTTTTAAAAATCAATTTATTTATTGCTATTAGAATATTCATTTAAACATTGTATTCATTAAAACATTAATTATATTTACAATATATACTGTACTGCCATACAATATGAATCTTATTTGACTTCAATTTTAATCAATTGCTTAGATATTTATTTTTAAAATAATTAAATAAAAGTGAGAAAAGTTGGATTTTTCTATATTATAGYTATACTGGTTTACTGATGTGTATTGATTTGCTATCTTAAAACTTTATATGTTTATCAAACATGACCCGAGGATCCGATATTAAATAGTTTATTATAATTCTAAATAAATATTTCATTGATTTCTTGAAAATAATGTCATATTTCATATTAATATACAGTATACAATTTATAGTCAATATTTAAAATAAACTATAATATTATAAATTATAAAATCTAAAATATTGTAAAATACAATATTAAAATTGTTTAGTATTTTTACACAATCTAATACAAGTAAATGATAGAGTGATTATAAAAGTTCTTATAATATCACATATCATATAATATGATTCATATTGTTATTAAATATAATTAGAAATTAAATGTTTTATACTTAAAATGGTATTTATTATACAATACTGTAATATACTGTAATAAACTGTAATATACTGTGAAATATAGAAATGCAATGTTAACAGTAATTTTAAGGTAAGTTTATATTATACAGTATCACATAAGACAGTCTATGAGTTGAAATGTTATAATACATATTAGGATAAGTATTATGAAAGTTAGGTTATATAATGTCAGATACAGTACTGTCTAATGATTTGACATCAAAAGTCGCAAAATTACTTTTGCGGCGATTGAGCTCTCAATGACATCAAAGACTCATATTTGAGATTATTTCGGACTAATATTTTGTTATTTTGTCCACTAATATGTTGCAGTTATTAGTTTAGAGATTATATTACATAATATGTAATGTWGAGTTTTACTTAAATAAAATAAGTTAATATCAATATCAAAGTTATAAATTTATACATAATAAAAAAAAGTTTTATACAAAATAGACAATAAATCTCATCTATAAATAAACAAATGTCTCATAAAAATTTATAATAAAATATCAAATATATTTTTAAAATTAAATTTCCAATCAATGATGATTTAATATGAATTTATTAATTGATAATAATAACTGAGACTATATTAAAAACATAATTTTTATTGTCATATCTTATATAATTTTCTAGATAAATAAAATTAATTAATTTTCTATATTATAAAAATATATACTTAGTTAATTTCTAATTATATATATATATATATATATATATATATATATGGTAAATATTTAACAATAAATAATTTCTAAAAATAAATAAATAAAATAAGATAAATATAACCACAAAAATAATATCTAATATAAATTTATTAATGTTTAATAATTGATTATAACAAAAAATAAACAATAGAAAACTTACGTGTAAATTATTAATACACTAAAATTTATTTTGTTTTTTTTCAATAAAATTATAAATACATGTTATTTTACAAAAAAATATCATTTGTTTAATTATGATTTGATGACTATATACAGTATTGTATATATTGATATATATATATATATGTATTTATATGAAATGAGTGCAAATAATAATATAATACGATTAAAATGAGTTTTCAAGTAGCCTTTATTAAGGCTTATTATATGTTTAAATTGTTGATACGATTAAAGTGTCTATAGTATAGTAATAGACTCTATACTATGATAATGTGATAGATAATAATATAATTGCAAATCAATTGACTGCATAACAATACAGATTTTAGTGTTTCATAAAGTGACTGTTGTTTTCATTTATTTATTAATAATAATAATATTGTATTTCATCAAAATAATTGGTAAAAATTGATGGTTGGGATCAACTATTATTTGACAGACCATATGTTTAGTGATCATAAAAATGCAAGAATATAATGAAAAGCCGTCGACTTCGAAGTCGACATCCAAGTCGACACCGACGACATCATTAACTATCCCTAAGTCTGACTTTTTCACTGTAAGTCTCTATAATTATTAAAATAACTTTTTGATTGCTTAATCTTTAAATTGATTACATAGTAATAAATTTTGACATTAATTTGCAAACAATTTTTTTATATAATAAACAAACAACACTTTTCAGTGTTTTTATTTTTTAATATTAAAAATACAGTATTTGTATATAAAATATATATATATTTATGAAAATATTTATGTGAGTGAAGAGCAATATGTGATATGAAATTAAAGATTTTGACGCCAGTCTTGATTAGGTTCAACATCTCCCTCACCACTGATATGATAATAGAAATAAGTATTCATTTAATAAGGACTTTCTTCACATACATACTCGTAATACCCGTCCCTTTAAGTTGTGATATATTTTTTTGAATATATAGATGTAAAATATTAAAGATATATTTTACTAATATTTATGTTATTAATTAATAAATATTTTAATAAATATAATTACAAACATACGTACTATTGAATTAACAAACAAAATTAACAAATTATTTTTTGATAATTTTTGGTATTTGTTAAAAACTAATAATAATGTTAGTTTTAAATATTATTTAAAGAGTGTATTTGTGTTAAATTTTATAAATTTATATCAAACATCGAGATAATGGCTCCAAACAGAAAATTTTTTAATCGAGATGTTATTGTAAGACAAGAAATCAAAAGTTTTGAATTTATTTTTCTATAAAAAATGTTATTTTAGTGAAAAATGGTGTTATTTTGTATGTATTGATCACAGAATAGCGACCACTCGGCTGAAAACGGCGACAGAAGTTACTATAAGGAGGTAAAGGAGCACTTGTTTAAGATACTGGTAATCGGCGAATTGGGTACCGGGAAGACCAGCTTTATTAAACGATATGTCCACCAGTTTTTCTCACAGCATTATAGGGCAACCGTAAGTCCCTTAACTTTTGTAGAGTTACATTAAAAACCTTCAATATCTGACTTTCAAAACCTTCATTTATAGCAAAAATTTTTTATCCAAACAGTCATATGAATAGTTTGCTTGTAATTGCTATCTTTGATAATGTTTACTATAATAATGTAACTCCAATGAGTTTACAAGAAAACTAATGCAATTTATTCAATTGAGAGATAGGAAATGATTTAAATGTAAACGATTTAAACTGTATTTATTTAGTAGGATTTACTATTAAAACGTGCTCTAAATCTATAATTTTATTTAATGTTTGCTAATAAAGTCTTCATTTATACTCATTTATGATTATAATAATCTTTTTTTGAAAAAATCAAAATTTTATAACATTATTTTCACACATGAAACTACATGTACTAATGTTTTATGCAAAAATTTTTTAAATTTTAAATAATCGATAAAACTAGACATCATTGAAAATATTTGATAGCAMAGGGATGTAATACCAGGCTGTTTCACGCCTTAATTTATTCAATGCTTTAGTGACTGATTTTACTGAAACCAATAGATAGACTAAGAATTGTGAGAATGCATTATATGGTGTCTCACTGTTTATCTAAAAAGTTGTTTATTTTCGGATAAAAAATATAATAAACCGTTAAGTCATTTACACAAATTGATTACTACATTATTTTAAGTTTAGAAACTTTTAAAATATATTGTTTTCTACAAATTTTATGTATTAATATTATAAATTAGATACAACATACACTAGTAATTAATATTTATACTACACTTACGTATTATCTTACATATATTTTTAATTAATTATCTATTTTTATAGAAAATGTAATTTTAAAAAAATATAAAATCTTTATTCATTCATCATAATTATGTCCTTATAATAAAATTAATATCATTATACTCTACATGTCTTAACATAAGAGTCACATTGTATTAAATTTATTATAATATGTGATATTCATTACGAGAATTTATTTATATACGGTATAAGATTATTGATCCATTAAAAATATATACAAAATTACAATATATTTATACAGTACTCTAACTTTTGCAATACTATACCGTTAATAATRTATAGTATGATGAAAATACTTTAATTTAATGCTTGAAAAACTAATTTGATTATCTTATTTATCATCAATTTTGTTATTAGATTAAATTTACAGTAATGTAATGTCATATTTTTGTTAATATAAAATATTATAATTTACATTTGATTTAAAAATAAGATGAATAATAAAGTTTTGCAATAAATTACTATAATACATACATTTGATTAATTGATTAAATGTGATTGATTTTTTGAAAGTATTTTAAAGTAGAATATTGTATAGTATTTGATTAAATTAATAATTAATGTTATTTAATAATAAATTTAAATCTTTTATTGCACATTTACATTATACATTAAACTGTTAACCTATGTTTATAATTTTATGTAACATTTCTATATTTGAGTTTAAATTTGACTAAAAATATATTGAAACCCATTATCTAATTATTATGTAATTACTACAGATAGGTGTAGATTTTGCCTTAAAAGTTATTAATTATGATGAAAATACGTTAATACGACTACAACTCTGGGATATTGCCGGGTAATGTCTGAACTAAAATTATAATACAGTATATGAATAATTAAATATAAAAAATGTATAGTCAGGAGAGGTTTGGTAACATGACCCGGGTCTATTATAAGGAAGCTGTGGGCGCTTTCCTAGTTTTCGACGTAAGCCGTCCGACAACCTTTGAAGCCATTCTTAAATGGAAACATGATTTGGACACAAAAGTGTGTTTACCTGACGGCTCTCCCATCCCATGTCTTCTATTAGCAAATAAAGTAAATATTAATAATTGAATATCACTTTAATTATTTATAATTGTTTTCTAAATACAGTGCGATATGCCTAAAGAAGGGCCGGCTAACAGTCCCGAAGTTTTGGACAAGTTTTGTGATGAACAAGGATTTGTTGGCTGGTATTACACGTCGGCGAAAGATAACATTAATGTGGAAGAATCGGCCAAATATCTGGTGTCAAAGGTTTAAAGTTTTGATATAATAAATATAATTGATTTGAATAAATCATTTTATTGACCATCACTTTCCATCAGATACTCCAAAGACAAAAGAGTCTACAGTTAGAAGAGTCGGCTAACAATGATATATTGATTCTCGATTACAGCAGTCATGGCGACAGTTCCCGAAAAAGATGTGCCAACTGTTAGACTGTTTGATGGATAACTCATTTGTTCAACAATTCACAAACATTTGGTTTAATTTATTGAGTTTTTTCTTATATCAAATACAAACATATTTAAAGCATAATCTTGTGGTATATAATGTGTTGAAAAAACATTTTGTGGATCCGATCAATAAGTGATTCATTTGTTAAGCAAAGTCTTAACTAATTATAACTTATATATAACTTTTGCTAACAATTCAGTTGTTAGTCTTTTAAGTCATTTTTCAAAATCATTATCACATTATATGTGACTTGAATTTATAACCAATACTTATGAACTCATAAAATCGATTCAAACATTTGCTTCAAAAAACATCAATCGATTTATTATATGTAATGCTTAAAATAATTTGTGGACAATATTTAAATGAATTTTCACAATGAATAAATTGTTTACAATATTAATTAAATGATAAATAAATCATAAAATGACATTTTTGATGATATATATAAAAATACATATTTATTTATATCTATGATTATGTGCGAGTCGTGAGGCAGCGGATCCAACAGACCCAGGCATTAGACCCGAAGAACCGGAAGATTTTTTCCATTTTTCCTGATGAGTAAACTCAGTCATTGGTTTGCCGCCCAAACCTAACAATAATTATATATTAAAAAACTTTTTACTAAATAATTATTTATATTATACTTATCAATAATACTATAATAATATTAAATACATGACAATTACGAAAATTCAAAGTATGGTAATAATAGGATAATTAAAACACAAAATTATTTGATTATTCATTTAAATATTTAAAGCTTACTATTTCCTAACTTTTATTATTTAAGGCGTTTAATGAATAATTAAAACATTATTTATACGAACAAAATAATGAATAATTTATGGGACAAAAATCAATTACTAACCACACGTTCCTACGCCTACCCGACCCGAAACAGAGTCGGGCGATGCAAATATACTCCTTTTGGTGGCGCCCTTCATGTTCTTGTTATAGGCCTATTGAAAATGCAAAATCAATAAACCATTAAATGTCATAATATTATTAAACTTAGAAATAGATATTTTTATAGTAATTATATGTTAACACAAATGGTATCAATTGAAGTGATGTCTTACTTTGTTGGCAAATGACTGCCATTTCATTTTATCCTTTTCTCTTTCCTCTTCCAGTTCTTTAAGTCTTTCCTTTTTCTTTTGTTGTTTTTTCTTCAGATATTCCTTTTGATCATTCAATGCGTGTCTCTTTTGCCTATTATCACCAAAAGAAGTGGAAGAAGAAGTATTTGTCGATAATTTACTTCTCTTTCTACCGATTGGTTTCAATAGTGAAACCAAACACACTTCAGATATTTTACGGTGTTTGAAGACAACAGTGCACTGACCGTCACTTGTGATGTCCTCAACTCTTGCCTCATAAAACCTGATCAATAAATACATTATTATTGGTCACAAAAAATTCAATACAATCAACAAAGACTTACTGTCCGTCTTCACTGAGCGGTGCAAGACATTGATCTCCCGCTTCAAACTGATGGCTAATATCTGTCACCGAATTGTTTGCCGAACTGTTAGATTCAGAGTCACCCTCACTGGACATCAATTGTTTGGTCAAAGCTATCACTTCCTAAAAAAGATTTTATAACAATAAGACAATCAATAGTCAAATAAGACAATCCTTTTTTTCAAGTAATTTGTGTCAAATAATACTCACGAGTAGGTCGTCCTTAAGTTTGTTCAGTTCATTGTTATCGGGATCTGTCTGTAGGGCCGACTCTACCTGTTGTAACTGAATCTGATAGTTACGCAAATTGGCCGCACTGTCCGCACTCATTGTGGCCACTGATCGCTACACCCGAAGTAATCAAATAATATTAATTAATAATCAATTAATTCTTGGATTTCAACACAAAAAAAACAATTCATATATTTTTTTGTTAATTATTGATATCATAAATATATTTCATTCAATAAATTGTTTCAAACAATTGGTTTTTAAATAAAATTAATAAATTTTATTAAACAAAGTGTTGACAAAATCAGTCAACAATTTTTGGGATAACATAACAAACAACACAAACAATACAGTCATTGATGTCAATCACATGCAATGCATCGGTTAGTGTGTGTCTGACAGTCAATAGATGGCAATCATTGTATTGACAATTGGTTTTCATTAGTCAAACAATTCATCGATTATATCGATATAGTCATCAAAGTTATCGTCAATTAAATGTCTAATAAAAAGTTTTAAATGCGATTAAATTAATTTGATTGACAATCAATTATAATAAAAAAGTTTATTGAAATTAATTTAATATATTTTTTTATAATCTTTATAACATTGACTGTCATCTAAACTCAACCACGTTGTGATAATACATGCAATAAAATTATTTTTTAAATTTTATTTTTTACTGTTTTTCAAATGATAAAACATTTTCAAAATAGTAATTTGAATAAAAGCCAATTATTTTTGTAAATTGAGGCCAAAATGTTTACTAAGTTTGTCTATAATAATAACAATAATAATAATATTTTTAATGATACTATTTTATTAGTGATTTATAACTAGTCATACCTTAGTTTACCTGTTTTTAAATGTTTTTTATGTGTTTATTATTACAGTTTATTAATATCGTACAGTTTATGGCATATCACATATGTTTATAAAAATTAATTTTTATTAGTTAATTATAATTTTAATATTCATTGATAGCATTGTTAACATCAATTTAATAGTACAAAACAATTTCAATGTAAGTGTCATATAATTAATTGTAATAATGTCTATGAAATATCGTTTAATTTTTAGTTTACAATTATTTTCTGTAATATATTTAACAGTAATATGTTTACAGTTAGTGATTGAATAATGTTTTTCTGAGATGTTTTAAGTTAACATCAATTGATTGTTATTCATTCATACATGTATTGACCCAAATCAGTAGATATTTTTTATATATAAATAAAGTAAAGTAGCAAAAAATAAAATAAATATTTACTGTATAAATAAAAATCATATCATAGATTGCTTTATATATGATGTTACAAATAGACGTAAATGTGGACTCCTGTCTCACAGGTCATCCCGTACTTCCGTCTCCTGTAATCCCAAATTTGGGATTAAAAAAGACTGTTTAATTGAGTTGTTAAGCCATTCATACATTTAAATATATGTACTTTTAATATTAGAAAATATATTTCTTATAATATTATCATACAATCATAGTACACATACAGTACTTTTCAGTATAATTAATACATATGAAAGCTATAAAATTTAATAAACAATAATAATAATATAGATATAGATATAATATTTAAACATAATGCTGTTATTTATTTGAATTATTTTAATCAAAATAACTTTTATCATTTATTATATTGTATAAAATTATTTTTACATTATAATTATTTATATTTATACAGTATATCATAGAAGAAACTACTAACAGTATTATAATTTTAAAACTTTTAATAATTATTAATAATCAATTACTACTTTATAGCAATTAAAAAATTAGATATTTATTAAAATAACTAATGATATTGAGTTTTGAGTTAAAAACTTTTTGTCATTTTTAAAAAGTATAGTCTATTTGCAAATGTTTTACAATTATCTGACATAAGTATTATATGATATTATACAATCACAATATGCTATGTGTAAATTGACAGTTAAATGAAAATTTTTAATACATTTACACTGTATTTATGAAAAGACTGTTTGTCTACAATTTATTGAAAATATCGATACATTTATTTAGTTTTGTTATAATTTATAAGACATTTAGTTTACATAATTATGATAATAATTGAAATGTTTTTCAAATATTATAATAACTATTTCACAATAATTATAAATTCTAGTATAAAATTATTATTATTTTACTAATTAATGATTTACTCATTTTTTGTACTATAATTGAAAGTAATTGACAAAAACTATAAAAACAACGATCACTAACCCATTCATCAATTCATTACTAAAACATTAACGAAAAACCTAAGAAAAAATAGAGAATAAAAGTGCCTTCAATTTCATAGTATTTCGCATTTACACCGATTATATATAAAATTATATTTTTGTTAATCATTATTATTTACTATTAGATTATAATTAATAATTAAGATTTTAACATTAATTAAGTACGTATTTGGCAATTAATAACGTGTGTTTAAGGCTAAACGCAACTCCAAATTTTACGTATAAAGTAACTTCAGTTAATTTTGTCGTAATAAAATATATAAACTTTACGTTATTACTGTAAAGCTACTAATAATGATAAAAATATTTTTTAAAATTAAATTATTTTATTGCTTGTTTTTAGATTTTATTATAAAATATTCGTTGATTATTAACCTTATAAAACAATTAGTAAACTAACATACTATTATTTAAATTTGATTTAAAAAAATTGTTTAAACAAATCTCAATCAAAGATTTATTGTGCAATCAAGGTGTCGTTATTAGTTTTTAGCAAAATATAATTTAATTAAAAAATATTTTTATCATTATTAGTAGCTTTACAGTAATAACGTAAAGTTTATATATTTTATTACGACAAAATTAACTGAAGTTACTTTATACGTAAAATTTGGAGTCGCGTTTAGCCTTAAACACACGTTAACTATCAATGACTAAAATGTTTTTAAAATGCATATTTTGCAATTATTTGCAATATTTTGTGTTTATAATGCTGATTATTCAAACATAATTTTAATATATTAAATATTAAGCTTTTTCTTGTTTTTATTTTAATTTTTTATTTATGTCGAAATTTTATATTAATTTTATACAATCATTTAATCAAACTATAATATCATCAATTTTTATTCATATCTTTTGTTCAGMGTTTTTTAAACAGCGGCAATGCTATTAATTTCAATTATCTGGTCAAAGATACATTGGGTTTCAAAGTGACCAAGGGCAATGTTGTAGATAATTTTAAACTTTATAAAATTGTAATTGGTCATTTTTTAATTAATTGTATGTTTGAGCAAATAATTGCAGTTGACAATAATTTTTACAATTTTTTAACTGTCGACTGTATATTATTTGGTCAAACATGCAATTAATTTAAAAATGATCAATTACAATTTTATTCAGTTTAAAATTATCTCCAACATTGCCCTTGGTCACATTTAAATCCAACGTATTGTTGAGCAGATAATTGTAATAAATAGCATCACTTCCGCCGCTGTTTAAAACATTTTCTATTTTGTTAGTTTAAATTTAAATAAWTTTTTTTATTAGTAATTGTATAAATTGAATTCAAGTTTTTAAATTGTTATAGTTTTATGAATGACTTCAAACGGATAAATTTATTTGATATACATGTTTACAATGATAACCAAAGCATMTGTGTTTTCATAGTTTTTTTAAATTTGAACCATTTATGTACATCTATTATTTTTTTTATTTTTAATATACTTATATTATAGTATAAAATACATTAGAATATTATACTATAAACTACAATATTGATGATTACTCATATAATTATTTTACAAATTATTTACCTTTTTTATTTTGTATTATAAAAATTAATAATCTTATTTCTCCAAACTATGAAATTAGTTTTTATGCATTTAAAAATAATGACCGCAACATATTTTATATTATTAGAAATAAGTTGATATTAATCATACAATATATAATATAGTTTAAATATAATTAAATTAAATTATGAATTTTTTTATTACACATATATATTATTTTTTATATATAATTATTAATTATTTGAAATAAAAAAATTATTTTTTTTGGATATATTTTTCAATTATTTGTGAAATATTTGTAAATATTTATTATTTACTATATATTTGGGTAATTTTTGGGAAATTTGTCTTTTGATATAATTATCATTTGACAATATTTTATAGTACAGGAATTTGTTGTTTATTTTATTTTTGCACAAAAAAAATTGATTATAAACCTTATGACTAACGCCTATCAAAATATGTTTAATTAATCTTTTTATTAGAGAGTATCTTAAAACTCGACTGATAGACAAAAAGTTGACAATTTTTGTTGTAGCAGTCGATGCTATTTTCTAATAAGTTTTAATCAAAAATTGATGAATTAATCAAAAAATGACCTAGTACATTATTGTTTAGTGTAATATTATCTATAATTAAGACATTTTTACATTTAAACTATGGTTTACAAGATATTTAATTTATAKTATCAACAGTCGAAATGAGTCGAGTTTTAAGATACTTTCTTTTTAATATACAGTAATGATATAAAAAGTTAAATTTTATCATTTTTACAATAATGTATGAAATTATTTAAATCATTTTGATTGCGGTTCTTTGAAAGTAATATAATAAAATTGTGACAATTTATAAAATTAAAAGCAATTATTTTATATTTGTTGTCTACAATTATTAAAAAGATTGCACTCTTTTGTCGTAAATTTTAATATTTTAATTACATAAAAAAATAAAATAACAATTTGTATAAACATCTTAAAAGTTAATCATAAAATTTTTTACTAACTTTGATTCACATTTTTAGAAGTCTTATCTTTTTTCATTTTAAACGTTATTGTTTTATTTTACATTAATTAAAAAAACTTTATTAATGATTATAAAAAACAAAGTATATATTTTATATACTATATATATATATAATAAATTATTGTATTACTGTAAATTATTACAACAATAATTGTTAGGTACAAAACAGACACACCTCCAATTTCAAAATAGTTATAATTTCATTGGATATATACAATAGTACTTATGAAGTATTTTTTAATTTAAAATTTTAATTTATTTAGTGTCATTTTTATCTAAAATAATTTAGATAATTAAACAATTATATAATAATTATTAGGTTTCTTGACATTGAAAATAAAATGACATAACATATATTATATTATCTATTTATAAGGTTTATTGTGATTTTACGAAACAATTTATTATACAGGTATGATTGTTGTAAAAATAATATTTATTGGAATAAAGTGAACATTTTTTGTTCACGTTTTTGTGATAAATATCTAGTTTTTAATTTAATTTTTTATTGAATCTCAATTCATGCTGACATACAATAATAAATTTGTTAATTTTAGAGTACATTTGTCATTATTAATAATTATATAAAGTTTATTGAAGCAAACATAGTATATGAATGATAAATGTTTAAGAATTGATTATTATTTWAAAAATGTCGATGAGTTGTAAAATTACATGATATTATCCCTAATACAGTATAAATGTACAAAAATAATCATAAATATCTCGGTTGTAAATTATGCTATTAATATAGTGTTGATTTAGTTAATTGTCTGAACAAACTTTCATTGCTAACAAACAGTAAATAGTATGACATCAATAATTGATGTATAATTATATATGTYTTGTTATATACCTTAGACTTAATGTTAGTTTGTTTTAGTAATACATTTACAAATATCAAGATATCAATTGAACGAATTGCAGCACTTTATTGCTGTTTGATAACAACCTTAATAAATATTAGCGATTATTTCACTTAACTTTAAATTTCTATACTTTATTTATTTACGTTATTAAGTATATAATGAACACAAAACTAAATATATTTTATTTTAATTATATATTATTTTCAGTCCATAACAGGCTCTCACTTTCCACAGTATAACAACATTTTATTCAATACGTTATCAGAGTTTATCCCAAATTTTGATACACTCTAATATTTATTATTAAAAATGTTTTGATTATTTTTTATGTGTTAAATCAATAATTGAATTGTTTTTATATATTTGTGTAAATATTTTAAATCATATAAATTTCTAAATAATATATTTTAGTAGTATTAGGAAATATATATTAATAAAATCAAAATGATTGAGATGTTCACTGTTCGCATTCAACCCTATATGTCAAACATTGAGCCCTACAGTTCATCACTCATATGGATAGTGGTATTAGCCTTCATAGTAGCCTTTTTCCTGGCATTTGGTGTCGGAGCCAATGATGTGGCCAACTCTTTCGGTACTTCAGTCGGTTCTAAAGTCTTAACATTACGTCAGGCATGCATTTTGGCCACAATTTTCGAGATCGCCGGTGCTCTGACATTAGGTATGTAATGTATATATATTTTATTTCATTTGATATTAAATTAGTGATTATTTGAATAGGATATAAAGTGTCCAGTACTATTAGGACCGGTATGATTGATATTCATGAATATCAATACGAGGAAAAACTTTTGATGTTAGGCTATTTGGCAGCACTTATAGGTTTGTTACTAAGTTTTTTAGTACATGTAATTACTTTTACTATTTTGTGAATCGCTTTCTATTTTTTATCACAAATAATTTAATCATTATAAATGCCTACATTTTATTTAGTGTTATATTGTTTTATAATTGTGTTTATATTTAATTTTATTTTTTTTGCTTATAATAATTTTATTAATTATAACACATTGATTAAAATACAAGATTTAAAATTATGAATATATGGTACTTTTAAATTTTCTTAATACATTTTTTATAACATAGTTTTTATTTTTTAAATACAAATTTAATAACTATTATTAATAAGTATTTCATATATTTTTAAATATATACTAAGATATATTAGAATTTGATGTTTTATGAGAAATACTGTATCAAATTATATGTATTTAATTATACAAAATCAAATTACAATAGTTTTGTCAGTTTTTTGTCTGGTATTAATTAAATGTATAATATTTGTCTATAACTACTGTAGTATTTTATAATGTAGAGGAAGTAAAACATTGCTTACTTTATAATTATTACAAAAGTAATATAATCATTATTATCTTTAATGTTCTCAAAATTTATGATAAGATAAGTACAAGATTTGTCACATTAATACTTATTTATTAATTGTAATAATCATAAAAAGGTGGTGCCGTATGGAACCTATTGGCCACATTTATTGGTCTACCCATTTCGGGAACTCATAGTATTGTTGGTGCTATTGTTGGTTTCTCAATTGTGGTCAAAAATTTTGATAGTGTTCAATGGGTTGAAATCGCTAAAATTGGTAAAAAAATATTCATTTTTACATTTTAAAWATTATTGTAACTAATTATTTAACTATTCAGTCGGCTCCTGGTTTATTAGTCCTGTCCTCTCGGGAATTGTTTCCGTTTTATTATTCATAGTTCTCCGAAAGTTTATTATTGAAAAAGTATGTATAATGTTGTAAAGTTTTTTTTATTTTGTTTGATAGTAAATAGTTTTTTAAATATGTATTTTAAATAATAACAGGAAAAACCTTTGGAACCGGGACTCAAATCACTGCCTTTAATCTATGCATTTGTTGTATTAATTAATATATTTTCTATCATACATGACGACCCTTTTTGTAAGTCATTGTAATTAAAACAATTGTTTTTTGTAATAATTATTTTTAACACATAAATAGTTCAAACCGTTTGGTGGAAAGCCCTTTGTATAGCCATTAGTTGTGCCATTATTGTTGGCTTAGTTGTGTGGTTTGTTGTAGTGCCCCGACAGAGAAAAGCTATTATTACCAAATTAGGTATAAAAATATATAACAATTTGTTTTTATTTATTACTAATAATTAGTAATATTTTAGAGACTTCATCACCAAATTTAATTAGAAAAAATTTACCAAAAACTGATGCAAACGATAATTTAGAAGATAAAAAGGTAGTGAATGTGACCAATGGTGACATCGAAAACAAAGACAAAAAGGAAAGTCTTGTGATAAATGAAACTAACGAACAAAAAGACATTGAAAATAGTGTTAAAGTTGTTGATCCAATTGATCCAAAGGATGATTCTAATGAAGACAAACCTGAAATCTCACATTTATTTACATATTTACAAATCTTGACGGCATGTTTTGGTTCCTTYGCTCACGGAGGCAATGATGTCAGGTATGAACTTTCAAATATATATATATAAAACATGAATTTAATAATTTGCTAAATAATAATAATAMTAATACTAATAGTAATGCCATTGGACCATTAGTTGCAATTATGATGATTTTTGCTGAGGGATCATATGAACAAAAAGAAAGTACTCCGTGGTATATATTACTTTACGGAGGTATTGGAATAAGTATTGGATTATGGGTTTGGGGTCGAAAAGTGATCAAAACAATGGGTAATGATTTAACTAAAATAACCCCTTCCAGTGGTTTTACAATTGAGATCGGAGCGGCCGCTACCGTATTGGTTGCATCAAAGATTGGTCTTCCCATAAGTACTACTCATTGTAAAGTTGGATCAGTTGTTATGGTTGGACGACTCCGAAGTAAAGAAGGTGTCAATTGGAGATTGTTTAGAAACATAGCCATCGCTTGGATATTAACTGTTCCATTGACTGCCTTATGTTCAGGTGCTGTCATGGCATTACTACAATTGGCTGTTTAGAGGATTATAATATATTTGTCAAACTATTTCTAACAATTAGTTCTAACAATTCGTAACTAATTTATTAATTTTCATTAACAATTCATTAAAATTTGTAAATTATCAGTTAAATCATGGGTCATAAAATTATTTACAGCAATTAATTTTATATTTACTGTAATTTATTATGTTTAGTTACAGTAGTTATAATTATTTGCTATTATTTATTATACATTTTATTAAAATATTGTATATTTTTAATTATCTTTATAAAAATTTGTTTAATCTTTTATAATGAAAAATATTAATATTTTAGATGAACTACTTTTATAATATTTGTTTTAATTATATATAATATTTTTTATCAAATTTTTAAATAAAATTATTATTTAAAAGTTCATTTWATTTTTACTATACTTAATTTACAGTATATGCCATGTTATACAACATTATATWCTATATCAAGGTATTAATTTAATTGAAAGTGCACTATAACTATAAGGTAATAATTTATTTTATATTTATAATATATTTTATATAATTTATTTATTGTATAAGTTATACACTATAAATTGTTAATTTATATCATACTATTAATACTTACTATATAGTATATACATATCAGGTATTATTATAAGCTATTATAATGTTGAATTGCATAAATTTTTAACTTAGTGTTAATGAATCTCAATAAAAACTAATTACAATATATATATACATTTGTATTTGTATATACTTTATATATATACTGCAATTWATTTAGCATACATTGAAATTATAAATAGAATTTTCCAATAATTCTTTTTTATGACAATTATTAGTTTAAACTTATAAAATATTTGCTAATATGTATAATAAATGTGTGATAAATTATATGAGCATCATCATGGTGAAATTATATATTAGTAATTAATAACCAAATTTTTAAATTAACTATAATATTATATATATATATATATTAAATATAAAACTTATATATATATAAACACAATAATATTAAATAAGACAATGGGTTAACTTATATTTCAAATAAAATTACACTAAATTAGTGGACTTTGATATAAATTAATAAAATGAACCAAGGTCATATACCGCTATATTATACATATTAATAGTGTTAAAAACATATTAATAGTTACAAAGATTACATTTATAAGTTGATATAAAATTTATATTATAAATCATATGGCGATACAGTAATAGTATGAATAGTATATCAATAGTTTAATGATAATCAAAGTTTAATACCACTGATTGTAAAATGATTTACAATGAGAGGGCAGTACTTCTATTCAATCAATTGTTGTTTGTTTTTATAATAATTATAATTTATAAATATTTATAATATATTATTGAATATCTTTATAATTGTGTCATAAAATTTAAGTTAATATTTCATAATTTCTATAATGTTATTGTGTTTGACATAACAGTAATATTAATTAATTTATACAATTAATTGATATAATTATACAAAGATATGGTTTGTATTTTTATTTAACTAATATTATTGTCATTTAGTTTTTCATTTGTTTTATTTATCTATTATTTTCATTTCATTTGTTTTGAAATCAGTTGTCAACCAAACAATCGCTGAATTTTCACAAACTTTTTTGGTCTCAAACCAAGACATTAGTTGCACTTAAAAGCAGACATTCATCTAATGGACAACAATATCAATATCTTGAAAGAAGTTCTTTGCCGACAAACAAATTTCAGGCATCACTACCTCGTCTACCGGTTCCCGATTTGACCAAAACATGTCAACGTTATGTCGAAGCTCTTAGACCTATCATTTCTGACGAAAATATGTTAAACAAAACCCAAAGATTGGTTAAAGAGTTTRAAACAACTGATGGTCAGACACTTCATTCGTTATTAACTCAAGAAAACAATAACAATAAGAATACCAGTTATATATCAAAGCCGTGGTTTGAATACTATCTGAAATCACGAACTCCTTTACCATTGAATTACAATCCATTCCTCGCGTGGAAAGACGATCCAAGACTTGAATATAACAATCAATTGTTGCGGACGTCAAACATCATTATAAGTGCAATACGTTTTCGGCGATCACTTGTCGATGAACTACTTAAACCCGAAGTTTTTCATTTAAATCCAATCAAAAGTGATACAAAATTATACAAAAATGTCTTGAAGTTGACTCCAAAACCAATTGCATCATATGTTTCATTTGCATTTAAAGCATTTCCTTTAGATATGAGTCAATTTTCGTCATTATTCTCATCGACAAGAATACCATTAGAAGGTATGGATGAGTTGAAAGTTTTTCCTAATTCAAGACATATTGCTGTCATTAAAAAGGGACAGTTTTTTATATTTGATGTCATCGATTCAAATGGTAATCTTAGAGACTCATCAGATATCATAACTTGTGTTAAGCATATCATTGATATACCGGTCGATGAAAATGAAGACTCCGTAACTTTATTATCGACTGAAGACCGCAATGTTTGGGCCAAAGCCAGGAGAGGATTGGTTAACTCGAGCGCTAAAAATAATGAAAATCTAGAATTAATAGATTCGGCACTTTTTGTGGTTTGTTTAGATGATGTCAGTCTTGGAGAGCGAACTAAAGAAAACGAGATACGTATTGCTCATAACTTTCTTCACGGATGTGTTGACAAAAACAGAAATTATGTCAATCGTTGGTTTGATAAGTCTTTTTCTATTTTAATGACAAGTGATGGTCGACCGGCTATTAATTTTGAGCACAGTTGGGGCGATGGTGTGGCTGTTCTTCGTTTCTTTAATGATATATATAACGAAACTACGAAAAACCCTTTCTTGCATCCAAATAGTCCACTAAATTCAAGCCTTGATGTCATTAAAGAAGTTAAGAAATTGACTTTTAAATTAAGCGATGAAACGAAATCTGCAGTCAAATCGGCTAAAATTAATTTTATCAAAAATACTGAAAATCTTGAAATTGATTTTACAAGATATGAGAAAATGAATAGAGAGTACTTCAAGAGGAAAAAACTTAGTCCGGACTCTATGTTTCAGTTGGGATTTCAGATGGCTTTCCATCAATTGTACAACACTTTTGTGGCAACTTATGAGTCGTGTTCTACTTCGGCCTTCAAACACGGCAGGACTGAAACCATTAGATCGTCAACAATGGCCACCAAAGAAGCATCGCTTGCTTTTTCTCATCAATCAAAACTAAGTGATGCAGACTTAAGAAAATTATTGGACGATTGCTCTAAAAAACACTTTGAGTTGACAAAAGAGGCTGCAATGGGTCAGGGATTTGATAGACATTTGTTTGCTATGAAATATTTGGCTCAAAAGACTGGGAAACCAATTCCTCAATTATATTTAGACCAAAGCTATTCCATTGCCAATCACTTTATACTATCGACGTCTACTCTTTATGGTGAATGTTTCGCTGCGGGAGGATTCGGGCCAGTAGTTACCGACGGGTTTGGATGCGGTTATGGATATGCCGATAATATTTTAGGGATTATAGTCTCATCGTATACTCCTCATAAAAATAGCAAACAATTTGTTGATGCATTTTGTCAATCACTCGATAAAATACATAATGTTTTAGAAAAATTTTAGTGAAAATCAATATTTTATTGATTTATACAAATTATTATCTTGTTTTAAATGTCTAAAAAATTGTTGATTTATATATTTTTATATTCCAATTGGACTAAATATTTAATTTACAATATATTTTTATATTTACTCATATATATAAAAAATAATGTTTTAATGTCAATAATGTAATGTTAATTTATGGTTGCGATGATTGATTGGGTGATTGAATCATTGAATTATTACCGATCATAACATATCTCTGGACAGCTGGACTTCCCGGGCCTGTAGGCGTCCCAAAGCGTACAAAACCAGGTGAACCGGTATGTGTTGGAGTGTTAGCCCCTGGTGTAGTAGGCTGTTGAAGAACCACTATTTTTTGATGATTACCAGAAGTTCCGATAGCGGGAGGTCTTCTTACTGCAGATGTTAACTGTCCCTGAAGTTGAAGTCTATTACCAACAACACTATTAGTTGTCACCGATGGTATGCTTGTAGGACGTGGAGAGTTTAAAGGCAACTGATAGGATATAGTATTTCCTAATTGCGATCCTATTTGTTGTGTCAATGGTGTGCCCGCCGTTCGCGATCTCACTACAGCTGTAGAAATTTGGTATTTAATTAAAATAACTTAAAAATAATTATTTAATTAACAGTATTACCGGAATGAAGTGCTGGACCTAAATATCCAAACTCTGTCCGATATTCTTCGAGAACATCGGGTCCGGAACGTGATGTCTATAATAATAATAGGTTTTACAGTAAATTATTACAGATATTAAAATTGATGATTTACTATACCTTAAGACAGTTCGGCAAAACTCTTAACAGTAGTTGTTTGATATGTTCTGCGGCCGATTTGTCTGCACTCGGAGTATTCGGTGTTTCAAAATAAACACGAATTTTCTCTCCGATTGATTTCAATCTTTTTAACAGAAAAGTTCGCTGAACTTCAGGACCTAATTCGCAAAGACCAGAAACGGCTCCGTAAGAGGTGGCCATTGGAAGGCGCTCTCTGTCTAGAGATTGGCTTAACAATTGTGTGACTCGTGTCTGAACATTATTAGTGGATGTGTTAAAATTTTTGCAGATTTGAGATAAAAGACGGGATGCAAAGTCACGAAGTGCCCAATGATTGTCCACATCTGGTCTCATACAAAGTTGTTTGGAAACAATACACGTTAGCACTGTTGGTATGAGTTCATGTAAATACTTCTCGAGATAGAGATTATGGTTATCAAGCAATGCCTTAACCATTCTCATCAAATATATAAGAAGTGCTAAATTATTTTGAACCACATTTACTTTGACGCCTTCACTGATGAAAGTACACAAACGGGGAAGCATTTGATGCAAACCGGGATCGTATGTAAGCGATTGTAATGCTTCAGACCGACGGCCCTCATCAGACCCGACACACGCTTCTGTTATTTCTTTATAGTAAAGCTGCTGTTCAACAGATAACTCATGAGTTGCAAACTGCTTCACTCTAACCATTTCCATCTGTTTTTTCTTTTTCTGTTGAAGTTTTTGTTGTTGATTTGGTTTTATTTGTGACGATTTCTTCAAAGCCAACGCTGGATCAACACTTTCAGTTCTTTGTTGATCACGTGACAGTGGCGGTGGGTTTTCAGGTATCGACGGTTGTATGCCATCGATGCTTAACCAGTGGACTTTGAGTGCAACGTCTTGAGGCAGTTTTGGTTGCATTGGACTCGTTAGCACTTCAGCCAAATCTATTTCTTTTTCTTCATTAAAAAACAGTTCCCGACCGCCACCGGATGCAAACCGAAAGGGCGGGTGTTCTGAGTTAGTGAAACCTAATAGCGGTTCAATATTTTTATTCTTGAGGGCGAAGTCGATGTCGGATGTGTTGACACAATGCCTTTTGGAGTGCATCGCAAACTTGAGTGAATCCTGAAGAATACATTTGACCCGATAAGAAACATCTTCGGCTAATAATCGTGAGGCGTCGTCAGTAATGTTAGAGATGCCCAACTGGTCACCAATCAGTTTGATTGTGTCCACACCAAAGTGGCCCACAGTCTGAGGCGCGGACTTCTCTTTGGCGCTCATCGTGTGGTCAGTGTTTGGGCTTCTGGTCGACCGTTGCGGACATCAAATGTAATCACTGTTTGTCACATTCAATGTGTGTCAACACAAACAACAATAATAATCACTAAATGGTGTCAAATGTCGGCAAATGTTTGAAACAATTGAAAAATAAATTGAATTTTTGAGTCAATACTCAATCCTATGATTGGACTCTCAAAGCAATCATTACTTACATATAGTTAGGGTTAGATCAGATTCCCTCCCTCGTCTTATTTTCCATAAGTTCCTTATATTCCCTGTTCCCTGGGAATTCCCTGCACACAGAAAGTTCCTGTATATTTTAGAGAATAAATGTTCCCTAAATTTTGGGAACTTTTAGAGAATTTTTATTCACTGATAGCTTTGCTATTATTTTATGAAAAAGTTGGTAATTATTGGGGAATTTGATCCAAAAATTAGGGAACTTAACCCTAACATACATTACGGTAGTCTAAAGTTAACTTTTTTGTGTCGTATGTGTTGTAAAACTAAAGGGATTTTTTAATGAGTAATAGTTTATATATAGTACTATAGTATTGTCTACAATAGTTTAATCTAAATTTATTAATATTAATTATGTTTAATTATTTTTAACTAATTATGTATAGTTACTTTAACTAAATATTATATTTAATCATATAAATTATATAATATCTAATTTTGATAGTTCTAAAATAACTTAATTAATTATTAATTGTCTAATATACTGTAATTACAAATACATGTAAATCTCTCACACAAAACTCTTTATAAATTATCAATAAATTAATTGATTAAAAAATAAACTTTATTTTGCATTTAAATTTCACAATCACAAAATCACAAAAAATTCCTAATTCTAATGAAAAATTTGGTATTAAAATTCTAAAACTTTAGGAAACAAAAATCATAAAAATTTCCTAAATTAAAGTTAACTTTTTGTATTAAATGTTCTTAATTTTTTGGAAAAAATTTACCTAAAATGTTAGCAAAAGTTCTCAAAATTTTCATAAATTAAAGCTAACTTTTTGTTTAAATTTTCTAAAACTTTTGGATAAAAAATTCCTAAAAAGTACCTAAAATATTAGTAAAAGTTTTAGTCACAATAAATTCCTAAATTTTTCATTAAATTTTAACTAAATTTTTGACATCAATTTTTCCAGGGGGACTTTTTTGATCATTTTTTGTTCCCAAACACTTCTGTGTGTGGGAAGACATTTCCTTGTGGTACCACCTATCATACACTAACTCACATTACATAATGTTTAATTAAAAACACGTTTGTATAGTAAATGTCTACAAAATGTATTTAATGTTTTTACTAAATGTTTAATAATATTTTAATCATATTTTGATTGAGTTATTACTAACATACTGGTCCCAATGAAACACATAGATTAGGTACTTTTTAATGTATGACAAATTATATTTTCCCTTTCTAACGATCAAGGGAGGGAATATAATATATTTTCCATATTTTCCGGGAAAATTGGAGGGAATTTATTTGGGAACTTCCCTCCCTCGGAATCTCAATCTAACCCTACATATAGTAAGCAATTGTAGCACTCATTCAACACATTGATTGGCGAAACTATACGTAAACTAATACAAAGTGTAACGTTATATGTGTTATACATGAATGCAATGTTAAGACCATTGATGCCATAGATGTCACTATAAATACAGAGACAATACAATACATTAGTGATTGAGAGCACAACACGTTTGCGTCCTTTTCCGGCACTCATTARCTATGGGTAAGTCATACCACTAACCACTCAATTACTTTGTGGCCAACTATTCATATCAGACCATCAATTATTGATTCAGTTTTATAACAATTATTACATTAATTACTTAGTTATTAAATTAATTAATATATTTTATTAATGATATCGATATTAATGATGGTTTGAATGGATGTGTTGAGCCATAGATAGAGTGCAACGTGTTTTGCATTGAAATGCATTTTTTCTATTGTAAATGAATGGTCTGACCAATTGATCTGATCTCATGTCTTAAGGTATATCTCGAGATCACTGGCATAAGCGCAGGAAGACCGGCGGCAAACGTAAGCCGCTCCGGAAGAAGAGGAAGTTCGAGTTGGGCCGACCCGCGGCCAACACTAAGGTTTGTATTTATGATGAGATCTGGTTTTGCAATTGTATTCAATTGCTTAAGATTTATGTGTTTTGAATTGTCTTAAAACTAAATGATGTCATTCATGCGTGTCATCTGTTACTTAATTGATGATAAAAGCTCGCCGTTCTGATGTTAAATACATATCTTGAATCAGACCACGTGTTTCTTARGATTTAACAATTAATAGTATTGTACTGTTTGTTAGATCGGCCCAAAGCGCGTGCATTTGGTTCGTACCAGAGGTGGTAATCGTAAGTTTCGAGCCCTTCGTCTCGATCACGGAAACTTCTCGTGGACTTCGGAACGTAAGTCTATATTTTCAACCGGAAGTACTATTTTTGATCTTAAGGCCTAATGTTAGTAATAGTGATGAAAACATGAATTGCTTCGTATGATTGATTTGATTACAAGAATTCATTCCCACAGCGATCTGAGACTATATTTCTTATATTTTTTACTAAAATAATAGTGAAATGCATTGGTATATAGTGTTAATTATTTGTTAGGTACAACCCGTAAGACCCGTATCATTGACGTTGTGTACAACGCTTCCAACAATGAGTTGGTTCGTACCAAGACTTTGGTGAAGAACTGTATTGTATTGATTGATGCGACGCCATTCAGGTTATGGTATGAGAACCATTACGCTCAACCATTGGGACGCAAAAAGGGCGTCAAATTGGTTAGTATTGAACARTTGATGTTTAATGTCCTAAATGATGATTCAAAGTAAACACCATCTTTCGACTGATTTATTGATGTGAAACACTTTGTTACTGATTCGACTAATTTGTTTAAATATTAAATTATAAAAGTATTAAATTTTAATGTTATGTTTAGACGGAAGCCGAAGAAGAAGTATTCAATAAGAAGAGGAGTAAAAAGTGCGAAAAGAAATATAAGTTGAGACAAAAAGTGGCGAAAGTAGAGCCGGCTCTCGACGACCAGTTTATGGCCGGAAGAGTACTCGGTTTGTAGTTTTAGATTTGCTTTTARATGATTACCTAAATATGATGACCAACTCTCTCATTGAATCACTTTGTGTTTAATGATTAAATTCATAGTTACTCTGATTTTAGTTATTTTTCAAATTGTATTAATGTATGATTTACCAAAATAGTGACTAAAATTGTCTATTATTTAAACAGCGTGTTTAGGATCACGTCCGGGACAAGTGGGCAGAGCTGATGGCTATATACTGGAGGGTAAAGAGTTGGAGTTCTACCTAAAGAAAATTAAGGCTAAGAAAGGCAAATAAACTATTGATGTAATGTCTTAATAAATTTTTCAATAAAAATTGGATTTAAATTATTTTTGTTAAAAATTTTATTCTTTTTATTTAATTTTTTTTGAAAATAATTTATTGTAAAAATGACTTATGAAACGACATTAAATGACATTTTAAATTAATATAATTTAAAAGAGGAATAATTGTGTTACTCGTGTCGTACGTATCTCTCTTTAAAGTTAGTAATGGAAGCAAATGATCACAATATGTATATAAGTTTCGATAATTATAACTCTTGATGTCCGCTATCGCTTTCAATTTCTTCGTCAACAATTGGTAACTGTTTGAGAAAAAACTTGATTAAAATGATTGTTACAATGGAATGGATAGCAAAATACCTGTCCGTCCTTTCCATCCCATGATTCAGTCTTTTGAATGGTCGGTAATTTGGCGCCTCTAATGGGAGAACTTGATCCTCGGCCGTACATTAAGTCACGCAGAAAGCTGTTAATTCCGTCGTAACTAAAAGAGCCGCGAAGTAATGAGTACTTCATTTTTCTGACATTAACGACAGCCATAGCTGGATATCCAAAGCCGCCGATTTCAAGTGATTCCTCGACTTCTGGTTGTGCCATAGCTTCGATCCAAAGGTAGGCCCACTTGTTTTTCTTAAACTTCTCGCCAATTTTCTTCAAAGTGTCGATAAAACCGTTTCGACATTTGGCATCACAATCAAGAATATGAGGTAATACTGAAATGACACACAATTGTTGGTCTTCACAGATCTTAAGGGACTCTTCATTAATCAGTTGTTTCACTTCAGGCGGCGGTGCGTTTTCAGACAGTTTGTCGAGAGCTGTGTTAATGATATCGTTAACGGCTCGCCCGCCCTCATAATCTTCAACCTCTCCGCGCGAAAATATTTTGATTGTCGGAAAACCTTTAATATTATATTTGCCGGCAGTCACGGTATGAACGGTTGCATCGAGAGCTCCCACTTTGACTTTGCCCTTAAGCTCAGTGGCCGCTTCGGCCCAAATCGGTTCTAAATTCTTACAGTGTCCACACCACGGAGCAAAAAATTCAACTAACCATAAGTCGTTACTATTCAAAACTTTTTCTTCGAAGTTGGAATCAGTCAATTCAATAACATCTTTTTTGTCCGCTTGTTTACGACCACTGCCCGATGATCCGCCACCAGAACCACCACCAACTCGACTGTCAACTACTTTCCTCAACTCTTTAAAGGCACTGTCTATCAGTCCAGCAGAAGATCGCGGACCGCTATAGTCAACCGGACTTTTTTTGTTTGCACCGAATATCTTAATTGTGGGAAACCCTCGGACACCAAATCTGGATCCCAGAGACTGATGTTGATCTGCATCGACTGAACCGACTTTAACGACACCTTTAAGTGCTTTGGCAGCTTTTGTATACTCGGGAACCAATGATTTGCAGTGTCCACACCACGGGGCAAAAAACTCTACGATCCAAATATCATCCGAATCGGTGACCCGACTCTCGAAGTTATTGGGATTCAATTCAATCACATCTGAACTCTTGTCGTATAAGGAATGACACGTTTGGCTAAATGTTAGCACAATTACTGTCAATACATTCAATGAAACTAATGGACCAAATAAAGAGTTCATTCATTAAAATTTCAACAATTATTCAAAACAACAGATGAAAGTAAAAGTTAGGATTTCTCTAATTAATTACCTCTTAATGAATACATTTGTCGTACAAATCAAGACTTTAATTAATAAAAATTTAAATTAAATAAACTTTTATTGACTAATAATATGTTAAATCAATGGAAACTCGATATTAATAAAAAATTAAATGAAAATTATAATGAATTTGACGGACAATACATAATACCGGTCCCTATATATGACTGAACTTACAGTACATATGCATTGATATACAAACAGTGCTTATATTGAATGTAATGAATGCCAACCAATTCGTGTCGAAATCCCATTGGTTTTCATCATTTGACTACACTTTCCAATACAACTCTTCAATAGACATATTATAGTGAGTGTGCCTTTCGGTCATTCACTTATCCCACGACTCTATCGCTGCTAATACTCGTGTCTTATGTAATGCTAATACAAATCAAACAATTTATTTAATTTTTCGTTGTTTTTCATATAACATAACACATGCTATCTATTGTTTGATTGGATATTCATTTTATTATAAATTTATTAATTTAAATAACATTGATTTCTACACTCACTATAGATATACAGTATTTACAAACAATTAATACATAAGTTTTAGTTAAAAAAAAATATTGTAAACAAAAATAATTAAATGACATTTGTTTTGTAAATAATTTAATTAATTTTAAGTAAAATAAAATTCAATTCAATTAATTATATGATATGATATGATATWTATATAAATTCATAAATTAATCATAAATTGTCTGAATATATGATTATTATTATTATTTAATGCTTTGATCGCAATGTTTGTCAACCGATTGCTATCACTGAACAAACGCCACAATTTGATGACAATTTGTGGCAATTATTTGATGCGAAATAACACCGATTTGTTGTCATCTGCGGTCACAAAGATATTATGCTATCGTTTGGTTCACTCGACAAATATCCATGAAATCGATTATTTATTTTCAAAGTACAAGTTGTCTCTCAAATCGTCGTCCGGACGACAAAGTTATGGCCAACAGTCGGCTCTTCAGCACTTTAACACAATTTCCGATTTCAATTTCGAGACCGACAAAGACGTGACAATTAAAACATTAAGACAAGTCTTAGAGATCCGCAAAAGTGATTCACGATTTCTAGTTAAGAATTATCCCAATTTGTTGGACATTTCTGAACAACAAATTGAAAAACAAGTGTTTCTGTTGACAGACAGGTTTGCACTGAATTGTGACCACTTCTTGAGCTGTCCGTGGGTTCTGTACCTACCGTTTCAATTTATTACTGAACGTCTTCGGCCATTAGGTCCGATCACTATTGACTGCAATCATTTAGTCCTTCTTTTATTGCCTTTAATATCATATGATAGTGTCGTCAAAAAGATAAAGAAAAATAATATTAAAGAAAATACTTTTGAAGATTTCAATCAAAAGTTAAATTTGTTTACAACTAATCTTAATATTATTAATCAAGAGTTTTGTGATTTAATTCATGAAAACACATTTCTTTATTATTATGATTATCATCGACTTAAGACAATTATGGATTTATTAAAGAAAGCAAATATTAATACAGATATCATAACTTCTGACATAAAAGTCTTTACACATAATATCGATGTTATGAATAAGAGAATTGATAAATGCATTGAATATAATATGCCGGTTAAGACATGGATGTTAAGGTCCTCTGAAGAATCATTTCAAGTATGTCTACAAAGACATAACGACAACAAGAAAGTACTTAAGGATTATGATAACAATATAGAGTATATGACTTCACATTTGAATTGCAATAAAAATGTCATCCAATTAATGACAAAAAGATATCCACGAATTGTTAAGATCAGCGCCAAGAAGTTGTCTGAAAAGTTATCGTTTTTGTTTAAAAAAGGATTCACTGCTTATCACATCATCGATACACCGAAGATATTGTTTCATTCGGTCGATACTCTGGTTCACAGAATTAAAGAATTGGAAAAAATCAATATTCATTTGAATTCATTAAAAATTTTGACATTAAGTGAAAAAGAGTATCAAAAGCTGATCCAACAATTTAAATCAGTTAAACTAAATGGATATAACTCTGAAAATGATTCAAAACAAAATATATCCACTTAAAGATATAACTAATTGTATTAAAAGTTGTAATTTTTAATTATTATATGTTTTTTTAAATGCTATTATACAGTATAATACATTTACTTATGTAAAAATGCTACTAATATTAAATATTTGTCATTTATTGCAATAATGTATTAAATTGAATAAAATTAGATAATATGAAAATTTGCTTAAAATTAATGAATTATTGAATTAGTTTCGTATATTTGAAAAGTTAATTCACTGATTAGTGTATATACAGTATTATAGGATATAATACAATATATTAATTATATCTATTAATATAATATATGTATTAATGTTATGATTGACTACAAAGTGATTGTCATTCATATACTGCGCGTACAATAGTGTAACAGAAGTGCCATTGGTTTCTATAGTAACGGATTGAGTGTTTGTCCAGAGAGGGGTCTCAGCGGGCAATCAAATGATTGAATAAATCGGCGATTATTTTGTGTTTTGTTTTCATTTATTTACCATTTGTTTGATTCAAGACATCAGCCAAACAATGGTATGAATCCAATGATATATTATTACCATTTGATTGCATTTAGCCATCAATTATACTGTCATTCAGTGTTCGCCACATTGAATGACAAAACAATTTTATTGTAAACAATGAAATACTTAATGTCTTAGTTGTCTTCAATCAAATTGTTTATTGATTGGATGCGATGAGTGATTGTTACCATAGATGACATTATCTTACAATATATGCTCTATTGTTTTCATAGGATGTCTTTTTGATGGTCAGACGCAAAAAGATGACAATTTTTTTGGACGCCAAAGAGACCACTTCTGTCATTGATTTGAAGCGAATGATTGGTGGCATCACAAAGACATTACCTGAAGATCAGAGATTATTTAAAGACGACGAAGTTATGGACGACAGGAAGTGCTTAACTGACTATAATCTGAACCCAACGACAGCCAAAGCACAGTCACCGGCGACTATCGGTCTCTGTTATCGAGACGGAGGTTTGACTATTGATTTATTATATTTTATGTGATTTTCATTAATCACTCTATTATTTGTGTCTTTTAGAGACCGGAAAGTTTGAAAATCTTGAGATAACAGTGCTGTCGACGCCTCCAGAACTGCCTGATGTCATGAAATCTCCCGAAACTCAATGTCAAACACACGATCAAAGTGTCAATTGATTTGATCTAAACAGATATACAGACAATTTTGGTGTCAATTTTACGATATAATAATAATAATAATATTAATGAATTAGCATTACTTATCTAWTATTTAAATATTTAAATATATTGTTTTATTTTTTACATTACCCTAACACTTAAAAATTCAGATAAATAGAGTATTCATTGAAAAATGTGTAGAAAACAACAAATTTATATCATTTAAGATCTTTGATTTTAAAATGTAAAGCAATTAATTTAATTATTATATTTGTTTGTTATAAACGAAATCCAGTTTTTAGGCTTTCAAGTAAACTCTAGATTGTATTTAATTTCACTGTTTTTTTTTAATTTTGTAGAGATTAGATATAAAAATAATTTTAGGTAATCAATTAAACGCAACTTTTAACAAATTATTAATTTGTTTTGTTTGTTAAATATCTACCTATAAATACATAAATAATTTTGTTATATTTTTGATTTAATTACAGTAATTTATTTTCCAAAATTGTATGAATATTTGCAAATTTTTTCAATAATTTATTTATTTGCTTCTTTTCTTAACTCTAATTTACTATTTTATATTTATATAAATATATATGCATATTATAATTATTATAAATATAATTTGTGTTTAATTAAGTAAATTTATAACTAAAAAAAGTTTTAAAGGCAAAGAAATATACAATCATTTATAGTAAAATTATTATTATATGAATGTAAGTGGTATTAAAGTAGAATTGATTTATTTATAGATTTATGATCATTACTAAGTGAGTGCCTAATTCATTATTAGTGTAACTAATTTTAATTATAAAATATTATTTCAATAATTGTTAAATTTGTTTAAAATCATTAATATCTTATTTAAAAAAACAACTCATATATTCCTATAACTTATAACAATATAAATATCTTAATAACTTACGGTATTTGCAAGTCATTAAAAATGTTGCTTACTTTAGGAGAAAAAACTTAAGACTACCGTAACATACAAATTGAATAAATTAATTTTGAATAAATCAATTCTAATTAATACAGCTTACAATTTATTTGTGTTTTTTTGAACATTAAAAATATTAGAAAATTTTTTATATTAAAACTTTATTTTGTTTTACTTCACTATATTTGTCAACAATATTTGAAAAAAAACTCAAAAAAAAAAACAAATTGTACTCAAAATATGTTTATTTTTTAAATAAYAAAACATTGTGAAAGAATTTTTTAAAAGTACAATAAAAAACACTTATTTTATTTCAATGAAATGATTAATTTAACTATTAATTAATAAAGATTTTTTAATGATTTCATTAGATTATTAAAAGCAATTTGATTTGATTACTAAATGATGATTAGTTATAATTAATAAATATTCAATAGTTTTAAATGAAATTATTATAAAAGTATTTATATTACAAATGAAACAAATATTTTTCATTCATATATCTATTATTATTATTATAATTATTATTTTAAATGTGATAATTACTAGTGGTTTTACTATTAGTAGTAAATATAGAGAGAGAATATTCTTGACATTGAATTTAATGCAAATGTAAGCAAAACTATTCAAATTAAAGTCATTTATATTTATTTTCATAGATTTCGCTTCAAAAGTGTTTTATGTAATATATTTTTATCACTCAAAGAGTATATTTAATAATAATAATAATAATAATAATAATATAGAAAATATAAAAATATCTTATCATATACTGTATTAATACTGTGTGTATAAGTGTCTTATATATTAGTGGTAAATACTGTATAATAGTGTTATTATTATACTGTAATAATAAATGTATTGGTATTGCTCTACAAATACATGTTTTRGTTATATCTGTATTTAAGTTGTAATCAATGCTATAATAAAACATAATATAAATTACTGTAAAAAGCAATGCATTCAACAATAATAACAATAAGTGTCGACTCATTCATTGACTCTAATAATTAATTGATGAGTCAATGTTTGATAGCATTGGATCAGTGATTGAAATCATTATATAATACAATAAATAACAATAAAAAAGACAATAAACTGTTAATTAATTATTAAGTGTTAAGTATTGACCAAAAGATTGTCATTAAAATAAAATGTTGTTATTATTGTTAACAATAGTGTTGTTTATAGTGTTTTGTTTGACTGTGTTTTATGCGTTACAATACTTTGGTTTGTTTGAGTCAATTGAAGTGAGTGTGGGTTCGCCTCCCTATGCCTTCGGTGGTCAACCCGTGGCCTACAAGAAACAAAGGGGTTGTTATTCAGACGCGTCGCATATGTTTACCGAAGTGGTGTCATTAGTGCCCAAACTGTACACTTTCGGCATATACTTGGATGTGCCCAACGATGACAACCGCAACAAATGCCGGTATTTGGTCGGAGTCCTACTCAATGCCGATTCCGAAGATTTTGAGTCCAATAAATTGCTTTTAGAGAGCAAAGGCTATACTTGTGGTCAACTGCCAGATGTCGATCATGTGGTGCATACAGTCTTTCCCTTTCGTTCAGTCATATCAGTGGCCATTGCCATCAAAAGAGTTTATCCCGTCATTCAATCATATATTATCGTAAGATTTTTATAATACTTTTGAATTGTGTTTTTTGTTTAATTATTTATTATAAATTAATTTTGTTGACAATCTTCAGGAACATAATCTTTGTGCTCATCCGGCGATTGAAGTATACGACGATAAAAATATTAATTTTATGTATCCTTTGGCCAAACAAAACCAATTCTACCATTTGTATGGTGAAGATGCTAATGAAGACAATGAAGATGACAGTGACGACGATAATACCGAAGAAGACGATGACGAACCAGAAGAGGATAAAATAATTGGTAAGACTTCACAAAATGACGACAACGACGGTATTCATATGAGATTAAGAAGTTCTAAGTCGAAGAAAAGCTCAAATAGCAGTACCAGCTCTTCATTTGAAGAATTGGTTGCTGAAGACTCTTAAAAAGATAATCTTAGAATTACAAGAGTTTTCATAAATTTAAACAATTCATTCCCCAAACACTGCAAATGGTTATTAAATATGCGGCTCTTTCTCTCTTTTCTTTACATAAATTGTCATTTAGTGTGCAATCTCTCACTAAATTAATAAACATTGAATTGAATATTTAAATTCATGTATAATAACAGAATTAATTGAAGTTAATACAAAAAAATGGTACAATAATTGAATAATTTTTTTTAGAAAAAGATATTTTAAATGGATATTTAAAATGATTTTGGATTATTGTTTTAAAAATTAAATACCGGTTGTTAATAATTCCAGAGTCAAAACCAATAATTATAATTAAATTATTATTTTAATTGGTTTTAGGTTTGTGTGATATTAATTAATATAAAGTGTCATTTATTTTAATTATTGTTGTTTTTTATGTAATATATTACATAGTGATTCAGTAAATGGTTATTTAATTATTAGTAAATAGTTTAATATTATGTAAATACCGTACCGGTAATTATTTTTTGATTTTAAATCAAACTTTTAATGTAAATCATTAATAAATAAATTATAAACAAATAAGAAAATAACAAAAATATACAACATTTTCAAATCACTAATTATAATACTAATCATTAGTTTTCTGTTCTTTGGTTTCTGGATGTGACTCTTGTGTTGACTCATAATCTGTTGGTTGAGGTATTTCTGAGTGACGTTTAGTTTGTGTGGACGAAAGGGAACCGGTTCTCGTCCTCTTAACCACAGTCGGTGTGTTTGATGTGAACTGATTGATAACAGTTCTTAAGTCTTTGAGATCAGCGCTGGCACTCGATGTGACCGATGCTAAAGATGCGGGCAATAGAGATGTCGGCAAATCAAATGATCCGGAAAAACGTTGAAACGGATGTCTATTAAAAGGACTGTTTATATTTTGTGCCGAAGATGTGGCCGAAGCGCCAGTTTTGGCCGCAACTCTCTGTTTGACATTCTCTTCGTAATCAATCTGTTGTTTCAAAAAAACAGAGTTCTTAAGCAATTCCTGGATATTCTGAAAGTGACATTCGGTTCCAGACATCGACTTTAGAGCACCGATAGAGTACTCCAAGTCAAAGAAATTGCCTTTTAATCGGTTCTGTAATTTCTTCATATCATTCTTCAAAATGTATTTAAATAAAAGACAATTAGTTAAAAGAGATAAACCATCACTTTATTTACCATTTTATCCATGAGTTGTGGTACAGACTTGTGACAGTGCTCTTGAATCCTAAAGCAGGCCAGCGATGGCTCATTGCCTAAGATATACATATTTTCAGATATCTTCTCACAGGCTGTCAAAACAAATGATTATAATATCATATGTGATAACTATTAATATTAGTAAAAAATAGTACTTTTCTTGGTTTTCTTTGCTAGATCTGAGTCGTTGTATTGTATTTCAGCCATTTGTGGATCCCTTCCTCGTCAACACTGTGACCACAATATCAAATCAATTGAAATGTCATTTATTTTAAAACTAATGTTTACATTGAATACTACACTGTATTTCACATTATTTATAACTCAATGTTTGCGAACATTTATACCCATTAAATATGTGAAACAAGTTTTATATGTACTTAAATAAAGGCCTAAACATGAATCGAYAAAACACTGACATAACTAACGTCTGGGTAATTGAAGTGCTGTTTAAATGAATGAATATTTAGTTTCCTTTTCCTCTAAACATGTCTTCAAAGGTAACGTGTCTTCAATTGATTTATCTTTAATTTAGTTAATATTTAGTTAAACACAAACTTTTATTATTAATTTAATTACTTTTTTGATTACTAATTGTCCACAAATTCATTTCTGTAAGACAATTGTTGATATTATTAGTTTAATATAAGTTTTTTAATACATGACTTTCATCGATGATCACAACTCTTGATTCAATAAACTAATGACCGGTTGATGATATAGTTGTGGTAATCGATGGCACAGTTTATGGCAGATGATTGTCTTATTAATACAAGAATCTGTATGAAAAGTGCCAAATATTATGAACAAAACTGCAACATGTCTTATGTCCATATTTTTCATGTCTAAGACATTACTATTTTTTTGTGATAAATGTTTACCATTTAATAATTGGTATATTTTATATAATAGGGTAAAATGGCAGACAAATCGGTGGTTAAGACCAAAAGGAAGGACAAAGCGAGTAATCCTATGAGAGAGGTTCGCATCCGTAAACTTTGTCTTAACATTTGTGTCGGCGAATCGGGTGACAGACTGACCCGGGCTTCAAAAGTGTTGGAACAGCTTACCGGTCAACAGCCGGTCTATTCAAAGGCTAGATATACTGTGCGATCATTTGGTATCAGAAGAAATGAGAAGATTGCTGTCCACTGCACAGTCAGAGGAGCCAAGGCTGAGGAGATCCTCGAAAAGGGTCTTAAGGTATGTCATAAATTAATTTTTTAAATATGAAAAATCTATTTATTTATTACTGTAATTATAGGTTAAAGAATACGAGTTGAGGAAAGACAACTTTTCCGATACGGGAAACTTCGGGTTCGGTATTCAAGAACACATTGATTTAGGTATCAAATACGACCCGAGTATTGGTATCTATGGTCTGGACTTTTTCGTTGTGTTGGGTCGTCCGGGTTTCAATGTGGCCCACAGGAGGCAAAAAACTGGACGCGTTGGACACCCGCACCGTTTGACTAAAGACGATGCCATCAAATGGTTTCAACAGAAATACGACGGCATTATTCTTCCGCCGAAATCTGGAAAATAAATATTTGAATTGAAATACTATTTGTATTAAATGATAACAATTTTGATCAATAAAAATGTGACCCAAAAAATGTTTGGCTTTGCTTTTATATAATCACCGGTTTATATTAATTATGTTTATTATACAGATATATCCTATATATTATCATATGTTTTATTACTTTGAAAATTAAATCATTTAAATTGTTGACATTTAATGAAATGTCATCTTTTATAATAAAATTATTTTTCTTACAATTTCCTTATAATTGTTTGAATTATATATTAAATCTTGTTTTATTCAGTAAATAATTTTGTTATAAAAATTATTGAAAATAGATTTGTTAAGCAATATATGAGTTAATAATAAAAACCTAACTTTTTTGTTAGTAATGTCACAATAATAGCAACAATTGCTATATCGCAACGTTTGTCATATTTAATTATAACTAGTCTAACAAATTTTGGGAACTAAAACTCGGGAATCGAAAAGTAAATATTTCTAAATTCAGTTTGTTTTCATTCATTCATTTTTTACTTTATATAATATCATTTATAAAGTAATTTTATATTTATTTTTTTTGTAAATTTTTACTCTCTGATATTAATGTAATGCAAAAAAATCAAAAAGATTTTTGTATTATTTCTATATTATAATAGTTTTTACTTAAAACTTTGTTACCTAGTCAGCTAGTAAACTTAGCTAGTCAGAAAATAAGTCAATTTAATTAAAAATTTTATCAATTTTTAGTTTTACTAAAATATAAAAATTGTGGAAAATGACAAAATTAATATAAATTGATTAAATTACAAATGTATAAACTTTAATCGCAATTAATTCTTAACTAATATTTAAAAATTATATAAATAATTGTGAATTTTCCTAATTTTTTATTAGTATAGTTATTACAGATTGATATAAAAATGGAATTAATGTGAAAATCATTTTTAATAAATAGAGTTATACTTATACTGTACTGTAATACTTAGTGATGTACCGATTGCAAAATGCGCAATTGCATTGGTCGGAAATTGCGTGAAATTGCCGCAATTGCAAAACATTTTATAGAACAATTTATAATTTTTTAAAAATTAACAAAATTTAAATGGTAAAGCAATATGAATAAAAACATAAATTAATTATATAAATTTTAATCATTTTATCATAAAATGTTGCCATCTAAAACCATGTTAAAAATAATAATAAATTAGTAAATTATCTTAATCTATAGTAAATCAAATTTTTAACGTTGTCAAAGTTAATTTTTATACATTCCCTCATGCGCGCAATTTCAAGCAATTTCAAGCAATTTTCAGCAATTGCGGCAATCGAAAATTGAATTGCAAAAAATTACCAACACTAGTAATACTGAACTGTATATTAATAATAGCAAAACATTTTATAAACCAGTGTTTGTGTTAAATGTGTTGTCTTTTATCTAAAGGGTATCAGCGATACAAATATTTCAAAAAACTATGGTTACATTAGATTTGTATTACAGTGTTTATCCCAACATTTTATAGTTATTATTATTAAAATAAAAATAATCACAAAATATATGATATATAAAAAATATATGAATTGTTATTATTAGTGTATTTATATGAGTGGTAGCGTTAATGCCGTCTATTTATGATATGCTATATGTGTTAGTGTTGTTAGTATTGCTTTCAATTGTAAGCATTTATTCACTTATATTGAATGTTTTGAAGTGAAAGCCAATTATAATACTGCAATACAGTATTAATAACGCTTTTATGTTATAATTATTACAATACAGTATATATTGCCTTCAAAAGTCTTAAATAAAACATTTCCTTAAAGCAAATTTCAATTAAAACTTTTTTTTGTTCATTCATTTGTGTTATGTTTTTTCTCCTTAATCATTATCTATTAGTTTACTGGAAAAATAATGGTTAATTGAATATTATATGATATATATTTTTTATGCATTTACTTTTTTTAAAATCAAATAATTACTGCATTATTGAAATCAACAAACATTATTAACAAGACATACATTGAACTAAATTTTTCAAATATCAAGTTTTTTCAGTGTCTATGAGTCGCTGCTGTTGTTGTTTTAACAATATTTATAAACTTTTTGTTAAAATCTTATAATAATATTTACATAACAACTATAATAATAACAAATTCACTTTTTACCAGTCGTTTAGTTTTACATTTGCCATTACAATAGGATATTAGCCATGAATTCAATGGATAGCTCTATGAAAAAGTCTAATTTGTCTCTCAATGAAGATTTTTGGGCCGAATTGGATTCAGTCAGTGAAAGTGGTGTCGATGTCGGCCAAGATTACCACGAATTAGATGACAACTACTCACCCAACAAGTCATTGGAGGGTAAGTCTCATCATTTGTTAACTTGACTTAACTTTTCTCAACATTTTTGTTTAACTGTTTTATTATCAATTTATTTTATATCATATATGATATAATGTAATATAATTTCCAATGAAAAACACTAGTAGTGATATGTCTATTATATATATATATATATATATATATACTATATATATTATTCACATATTAATATAATATAGTATTATAACACTTATTATCAGACAATTTAAATTTTATGATTTTTTACTTTTATATTTGTATTTAATTGCCATAAAAATATTAATAAGTATAGATGTAATAGTAATATTACAGTTATTTTTATTAATAATTTATTTGTAACAACAATATGTATTTTAACTCTTTATGGTTTGCTTTCAATGTGTAAACACTTTATAACTTAAAATAATTGAATTTAAAATGACATCAATTAGTTTATGTCATTATAAATGTGTGACAAAAAACACATACAATTTRATTAATGTATTATTAATGACATTTAAAAAAATTGCTAAAATAAACAATAATATAAGTATTGGTAATTTTCACTTATGATTCAAAGTGCTTACAAAAGATTTATAATATCAATATGAATCATAACAAACAAAAAACTAAATAAACATTTCTAGAATTTGTTGAAATAATCTATTTATAGGATTATATAATATAAATGTATAAATTAGTGATTAATTATATTTTACGATTGATAACACGTTTTTAATTATAGTATCAAATTAGATACCAATTTATTAAACATTTTGAAAATTTATTTTTTCTTTATTTTAGACGACTATCTTTTCACATCTTAAACTTTCTAAAAAAGTTATATCTCATATAAAAATGTTATTTAAAATTAATTTCAATAGAAATATTAATAGGTATGACATTAATGATTGAGAATAATTAATATCACTATTTTTTTTTAATACCTAAAGATAAATAAATAAAATACATTTATAACTATCAACTTTGGCTTTCGAGTCACTGAATATTTCAAGGATTTTACAAATACTGTATTATAAGAAACTAATCTATGCTTTCCATTAGTTTTTATTTGTCACACAAATTAGTTTATTGTCAAAATTGATTTTATCTARAAATTTTGTATAATTAAATATTTGATAAAATATCATTAACAATATAATTATGATAATATCAGGGTTTAGTAACTATTATTGAAATAGATATTAGATTTTTGTTTAAAACTCCTTACGTTTATCGTCTAATTCTATTGAAACTAAAAGTTTTTTAACTCTTTATTTGGTCACTCTATTTATTGTATCGAAAATTAAAATACATTTTTTGATTATTATCTAAACATATTATTTAGATTTCATATAAAATTAATAACAATTAGCAAAATGTCATTTTATAATTGGTCATCATTTTCTTAACTACTACAATATAATATCAATATAATATTTTACAGTATATTAATTTTGTTATTATACAGTACTTGTATATTTTATTAAGTTTAATACAATAATATGACTCAAAACGTATGACTACWTAAAACATTGATGGGGGTCGCCAACCACCCGTATCTCCCTTCTATCCCCTTAGATGTTAAACATTGAATTGATACAAGTTTTAAATGATTGAATGAAATAGATAGTAAATCATAGAATCCATTATAATTTAATATATGGATATATTGTTCAATTATGCATATAATAAGTTAAAACACTAAATATTATTTTTTAACATACAATAATTGTTAAGTTATTGACACCTTTTTAAAAAAGATGAATACTTATAAGTATGTCATACGTGGATCACATAATTTATTATTATATAATATTATGTGTTATCTGTGATACTATTGATTAACAAACTAAAGTATATTACTCACACATGTTTATCTGATTGCATGTTGTTGTGTGTGATAATTATATAATAATCAGAGCATCCAAATAATAGTAAATACAATAATACATATTATTAGTGATATCGGAGAGCAACTCCTTATATAAAGTGTCGAAAATGAATTAAAATGTACGCAAATTATTTTTACAAATATTATCTTACTCTACAAATTTTTTTAGGTGTATTAATTTTATATTATTAAATTAAATAAAAAATCAAAATAATAAAATGTTTAAATATAGACAAATAGTTTCGAAGTAATGATAGTTAATATTTATACTAATATTTATTTTATTGTATTATTATTTTTACATTTTACTATAGGCAGTTAATTTACATAATTTATCAAAAAAAACTTGAAAAGTTTTGTTTTCTGAAATCTATACGAGCCTTTTTGTGTGTGTGTGTGTGTGTGTGTGTAGCAATTTTTTTGCGAATTTTGAAATTCTGACTTCAGATTCGGTTAGAGGACTACTAATAATGTATTGAAAAGTTGCATTAAAATTTTGATATCTCTTCGGGATCATATAGAAAATGGCGGCCAAAGTAAAGAAAATTTTAAGAAAAAATATTTTAAGTATAAATTTGAATAGAGCATCAAAAGCAAGCATAAAAATATGCATTAAAATTTTGATATCTCTTCAGGAACATAGAGAAAATGGCGGCCAAAATAAAAAAAAATTTAGGTAAAAATTTTAACGTTTAGAATTGTATAGAGCATCAAAAATAAGATATAATAAATTAAAATTATTTTTATTTTTTTAAAAATGGCGGCCAAAGTAAAAAAATTTAGGTAAAAATTTTAACGTTTAGAATTGTATAGAGCATCAAAAATAAGATATAATAAATTAAAATTATTTTTTTTAAAAAAATGGTGACGTATAAAAAATTAAGGTAAATTTTAGCGCTTAGAATTGTATATAGTATTAAAAATAAGATATAATAGATCAAAATTATATTATTTTTTCAAAAAATTATGATTTTAACTGTTTATTTTGTTATACTAAATCATTTAATACCAAACATGATTATATTTGTTTATTTCATTAAATTAATCATCTGATACTCTACATGACTAGAGTTGAGTTTATTTTGTCATACAGAGTAATTTGATACCCTACATGACTATGGTTGAGTTTGTTTTGTCATACCGAGTCATTTGATACCCTACATGACTATGGTTGTTTATTTTGTCATACCGAGTCATTTGATACCCTACATGACTATGGTTGAGTTTATTTTGTCATACCGAGTCATTTTATACCCTACATGACTATAGTTGAGTTTTGTTTGTCATTCCGAGTCATTTGATACCCTACATGACTATGGTTGTTTATTTTGTCATACCGAATCATTTGATACCATACATAACTATAGTTGAGTTTATTTTGTCATTCCGAGTCATTTGATAACCTACATAACATTATTTAAATTATGTATATTTTACCAGTTTTTTATTTTTGTTACTATATAAATTAATACTATATAATTATACCAACTATTTGGTTTCAACATATTTATGATATTCAAGTTTTTTTTCTAATAATGCTTTCTAGCATTCTTAACTGGTTTTATAATAAATTTAATTTTAATTTAATTCTGATAGATCATTTTGATAGATATCCAAATGACAGCTAATTTAAATATTTTTGTTTTAGTTATAATTAAAATAATAAATTATAAATAACGAGATAAAATTATATAGTTGAAAATAAAGTCACTTTTTAATATAATTTTTAAAATAAAAATAACTTAATGATAAAACTTAATTATCCAAATGAAATATTTTTATTAAATAAATTAAATAAAAATATACCAAAACAATTGCATACTAAATGACAATATATTATCATTATTTAACTATAGATTAGCGGTAAATGATAATCGTTAGTGCATTAAACTATGATTTTTTAATTAACCAAACTTCAATCTTAATATTATATCCGCAATAATAATTTATAAAATAATAATTAACAATCCATATTACCGGTATATTGTTTTTATATAATTTTAAAAAATGATAAACATTATTTTAAAGTTTTAACTATTTATTATTATTTATTAAATTATATATTAATTTAGTATTATTTACTTTATCAATATTAAAATTAATTAAGAGAAGTTTTGATGAATTTCATAATACTGTAATCAATGATTAGTTTTTAGATAGTTGATAAATATCATTTAATATATAAATATACATTATATTATACCGTATAAATTATCGAATTTATTTATAACTARTAATAATTTATAAATTTAAATAAAATTGACCAAGCGAATATTGATCCTAATTAAAAATTCAAATTATTTATGTTTTATAAACTCTTATTTAATATTTTTATAAAAGACTAACACTTCTACAATAGCTCATTGACTCTAACAATGAAACAGCACTTTAAAGACAAAAATATTATTAATTCAGTAAATCCTTTGTTTTCTTTAAAATTTTCTTTTTAGTCATTATTATGATTTATTTGTATATATATATTAAATGTGTGATCCTTTTATTAGACAGCTTGAATTAACTGTTTTACGTTTATGGTTATTATTTAAATTATTAATATTATTATAAATCGTGTGTACTGTACTATGATATCATATTATGATAGAAACTATTTATAGATAAGTACTGTAAATGCAATAATTTATTATTTTATATCTTATAATAGGCAAACATTTGTTTATCTTATAATAAGTTATATAAATTAATTATTAGTTAAGAATACTGTAATTATTTATTGGCAAAATCCAAATAAATATTGATTTTAATTTTCAACTAATCGTAGTAATAGCCTATCGTTTATTGTCGCATTTTAATAATATTACTGAATATAATCAACAATTTCTAACTTTTATTATTTAAAACAAATAAATAAAATAAAAGTTAAGTTTTATTATGAGTCACACTCTCGTTGAACTAGTTTTTAGGCCATCAAAACATATCATAATTATAATCAAAACACATTTTAGTCGTGTTTTTTATTATTTGATGACAGGAATTAACATATATATTGTTTTGGATATATTTTAATTAAACTCTTGTTTATACATTAATAGTTTTATTTGACTAATTTAATCTACACTACATCTACATATTAATTATTGATTTTGCTATTTTATTTCAATTAAACATTTGGTAAATTGTTATTAATTTATTTATACGACAATTAGATATTTTATAGCTATTTGTCGGCTTAACTATTTTCATCAATAATTGATTACATAAGTAAAATATGTGATTGTGTTTTATTTGATTAAAAAAAAGATATCAAATTTAATTGATATGTTTGTTGTGATACAGATTTGGCTGAAGCCGATTGGCTCAGAGAGGCTGGTCTTCAAGATATTATTCATTCACTTAAAGGTATTATCACTTAGTTTTTTTATAATTGTTTAATTTTTTATCTTATAATAAATTATTAGTCTTAATTTTTCTTAAATATAAATTTATATTAAAATTATTGAATTATTTTTCTTTACATTTTAATTTATAATTAAAAAAAAAATATTGAAAATAAGTTATTAAAATTTTTGTATTGTTTTAATACTATAAATACACTATAATTAAAAATTTATATTTAAAACAATATTTTACAATAATTATCCCAATTTTATTATACCTTACGGGTCTTGATAATTATTATTTTAAATTTTTAGGATAAAAATATTTATTTTTATTATTTAACAAAAATTTTAACATTCAAAATTGTTAGGTAAAATAATTTAGAACAAATAAATTCAACAAAATCATTTACTTATTTAAATATAAAAAAATAGTTTAGTTATGAATTAAATAAAATATATTATACAATATTAACATAATAGCAAAACTGTAGTAAATATTGCAATAAATTAAACTTTTTATGTGTGAATATACTGATAATAGTGTCATTAAGTATTAAAAATAGACTATTAATAAATCGATAGTATATTAATGATTTGTCATTTGATTAGACGATTGCTATGGCAGTGGCTCGACATCATTGGATGACCTGTTGGCTAACTCACTGTCCATACCATTGACTGAACGACAGACAAAAACAGTTAGAAAGCGTTACAATACATTGCGTTCAGCGATTGTCAAACAGAAAGGATATAACGGTAAAAGAGGTCAAGAAGTGGTCCAAATTGTCAACAGTAGTAAACAACGTCCGGATGTGAGATCACTGTTCACCTACACCGACAACAACTACAGCAACACAACTACCAACACCAACAACGGCACTGACAGCGCTTGTCTGGTCCAACAAATTGAACCAATTATTGTTTGTATTATTTAATTGATAGAAAATCGATGATATATACTGTAGTTGTAAAAAACTGCAATACATTTATTATGTCAATTGTTTATAGAATAGAGACATCTCTGAAAGCGATGGTATGCATCTGTCGACACAAAACAGTTATACATTGGATGTGCCAACTGATGGACGTCAACCAAGAAGAGGTTCATCACCAGACCTGTTAAAAGTATCGGCTCAAAGGCAAAGAACATCTTCAACTTCGTCAGAGATGGACAACGAAGGAGATCTTATGAAATTCAAGACAAAACCTCATCTTCAAAACCTCAGTAAATCTGCCACTAATATCAAAAAAGAAAGTTCGAGTCGTTTCAGTTGGACTTCCTATAAGAAAGCTTTCCGACTGACCAGCGATCGCAAGAATCCTCATTCATTGCTTGACACCGAAAACACTGAGACAGGTATGTGACTGTCAACCAATTTCACCGATATTTACGTCATTTTTGATTGATTTAGGTATTGAAGCCTTGAGTTTAAAATATAAATCTAGTCTAAGAGGTCCTGAAGACAGAAGTCATTTTCATTTGAATGCTAAACCATCGGTCGATACTTTTGGCAGCGAATACTTTAATAATGACGAACACATCACAGCTCAGGGATTAGGAATTGAAGTCATTATTAATCCTCAGTCACCTTATGCTTCAACAGTAAGTCTTATATCAATTTATTAATTTTTATTAATTTTAATTAATTAAATATTTATAATTATGTTTATATTATGTTTAAAAATTAAATTGAATACAATATTATTACAATTAAGTTTATATTATGTTTAAAAAATTATATTGTTATGTTAAAGTTAAGTTATAAAATATTTAACAAATAATGTAGATATAATATAATATTTAGACAATAATATTATATATTATTATTTTATATTATAATAATTAAAATGTATGAGTAATTTATTTACAATGCGATAAGTTTTATCAAAGTGAGATAATTTATAGCAAACAATATATTTCATTTAGTTTACATTAATTTATTAATATTATGACTATTAATTAATTTATAAGGATTTTTAACAAATTTAACTATATTTTGAAGCAATTTAAAGCAAATATGAAACAAATTCTATTATATAATCAAATTGATTGAAAAATATTCTTTAATTTTTAATTCAAGAGATTTAAAAGTAAATATTAACATTAATCATAAACTAAGCAAATTAATCACAAAATATATGTTTAATACCTAGAATAGTGATGCAAAATTGATTTTATAATTATTATTTTTTGAAAAATCAATAATAATCAATTTTTATAATAGATTAATAGGCAAAAATATGACAAAAATAATTAAATTTACGACAAATTAGTTGATATTCATTGACTGTGGAAACAGTAGAGAATTATCGGTTAATTTATTCTTACAATTAGTGCACTCCATGTTTGTCAATGTATTGAATCGGTTGTTAGCAAATCCAAGAAAACTATTGTCATAACTCATTGGATACGGCATTGCATTTGATATGGGAATTGTAGACATTGTTGTCATAAACATTGGCATCTTTTTCCTAAATTTGTTTTGTTTTTAAAAATACAAATTTAGTAAATATAAATGAATGTATAATTATACAAATATAGTATATAAAATTATGTTATACTTACGGCACAGGTATGGGTATAATAAATGGTATTATAATTTTGGTTTTTCCTTTTGCAAGACCAGTAAGAAGTTTAGCTTTTATTAGTTTTTTGAATAATTTGACTTTACTTGATTGCACTGAGTTTAGACACAAACAACAAATAAGTAGACAAATAATTACAACACTAAACACTTGTTTGGCCATAATTTTTATTGTATATCATTAGTATATAATAATGTTAAATAATATTTTGTGATCAGCTATGAACTGTCAAAAGTGAAACTGATGTCAAAAAGGATTGATTCCTTATTTATATATAAGTGTTGTGACAAATGCCTACTTTTATCTATATTTTGAATTATCGACGATTCTTCATACGTTAAATAGGGATAGGGATGCAAATGATGACAATAAGGCGGAACTATTTACATATGTTGTCTCAAATGACCTCTTAAAATGAGGTGCAATACCGCAAAATTGGTGTCAAATTTGCTAAAAAATAAGCAACGCTTGAATAGAATACTGTATATGATATATACATAAAAATTGTGAGACACATCGTGTTTATTAAAAAWTATTTGTCTATTTCTTATATTTTAAGTTTCCATATATAATGATAAATGCAAACAATGATATCTATTAATAACAAGTTTTACAATTTTTTAATTGCTTAATGAGTCAATGCATGAATAAGTACAGTGAGAGAGACAGTGATAGAGATATATATCAATATTAATATAAAAAATTATTATTATTATTAAAAGTGAATAGCTTTTCCACATATAATAACATTTAATAATATCCTATAACATATGAAAACAATTTGTTGATTTAGTTTATTTTATTTTTGGTGGCATTGTTTTAAATTTATGGTTTTTAATATTATTTATGRCATTTACTCCTTCTATTGTTTTGTTATTTATTTTRTTTGATAACTTATTTTTGAATATTTCTCTTTCTTTATTTACTATTATTTGTAACTATATTTATCAAATAATAAAAATTTAATCTATTTTTTGATATTTACATTTAATATAAGTAAAAGCTATTACTCATTTGCAAACAAACAAAATATTTTTTGTGATATAGAAATTTTGTTTTAATAATAATTAATAATTATTCATGAGATTTATTTATTAGTTAATTTTTATTTTACTATAAATTAATTTGTTAAYCAATTTTGGAATTAATAAATGCTTAAATTAATTGCCATTTGTTTTGGAGATTTATTAATGATAAAAATTATTTGTTATTAAATTATTTATGTAGTTTTATGTCATTTTATTGCCTATAATATCATACATAACGCAATTAATATAAATGACAAATATTTCTAAATAAATTGCATCACATGTAATAACAACACAATATTTCATTGTATATACGCGTGATTTATATACATTTCTTAAGTATTTATTTATACTTTATTAACTTACTATTAGTTCAAAGCTTATAGAAACTATAATGAAAAATATATAAATATTTAAATTTAGTCGATTKCTTACTGTTATATATTATATGAATTTCTATATAATATATATACTCTAAACTTTAGAGTCTAAAGTATACAATAGTGTCTTTTTTATTTTTAGTGTATATTATCTTATTTATATATTATTTATAAGTGAGACAAATATGTCTAATAAATTTATAGAAATTTTAGATTATTAGAAAGTTATTAAATGTTAAAATTAGTTAACCAAAGGATATTGATTTTAATATTCAATTACAATATTAAATTGATTATATATATATATATTAAATAATACAAAATTATTTATTGTTGAATACAAAATTGAGCGATTTATTCAATAGATAGTTGAATTTATATTAGACAATTGATATTAAAGAATTGATATTTATAAGTTTATAAAATTTAAATTATACAAAAATTTTATAAAAAACAAACATTACAACAATTTATGGATATGGATTATATGGATTACAGTATTAATATGGATACATGAAAATATTTTTTAATGTATTACTGCTGTTTTCATATCGTTACCAATCAGTAGGACAGTTATCAACTACAACTACAACAACTGTATAGCGCACAACCAGTAGAGCTAATTTAAATCCATAACTACCACAATGAGCACCACTACCACCACTACCACCAGCCTAAACCGTGACCTTAATTGTAATTAAATACTGGTATTATTATAAAACGTTTTTCAGGCTTTTCATAAAATGTTGTATATTTCAAACCGGATCCGTAGGGCTCATATCCGCCATATTGACCAAACATTCCTCCTAATTGTTATTTGTTTTAAATCGATTAATTAAAATGATTAATATTATACCAAAAAAAGGATTTTTTAGACTATGTAATACAGTATAACCAATAAACTAATATTTAGTATTATTTAGTACTTATTAGTATTTGCCGTTTTTTAGCTATTTATATGATATTAACTTTATTAAACAGTGTAAAAGCAAATATAAATTGTTATGTTTATGTAATTTACTCGACAATTGTTTTATAGATATTATCGATAATTAACAAAAAGTATTAGGGTACAAATTTTAGAAATAAMTTAATAACTGCGGGTTAAGTTTAATAAATATCATACAGTAAATAAATAATGAATATAACAAATAAATTACAGTATTAACTTAGATTTATACAGATATTTTTAATTTGAAAAAAATGTGTTGAAATATTTTTAAATATTTGAAATTATCTGATGAGACACATACCGTTGTAGTGATGGTGATAATGATGAATGTATTGAGTGGCAACACTGTACGAAATATTGGTAAATAAGATTAAATAAAAATTGTAAATAATATAAAAAGATATACCCTTTTGCATGTGATGGTGCCATAGGAAATATAATGGGTAATGGGATTGCGTGAAGTTTTTTAAACTTTTTTTTAACAATTTTGTGCAGTTTTTTCTTCCAAACTTTTTTTAATTTCTTTTTCAACATTTTTTTATACACATCACCGCAAACATAGTACTCGTCATTACCGATGATAAACATTATAATTATGGATATCATAGCACTATATATAATAGTCCTTCCAATCAAATCATTCATTATTTAATTAACAAAATGACTGATTTAATAATTAAAATTATAAATCGTTACAATTAATTAAAACACATAAACTAATAACCATTTTATTTATTTATTTTTTGTACGGAATATGAATTTAACACTTCATTTCCATTGCATTGTTAGTCAGCATCTCTTTGCCAATAAGGTCTGACCTCTAAATGAAATCACATTTAAATATCATATTTATCTGAACTTTCAGACATCATATTTAAAAAATTGGATCCCATTTGAAAGGTTTACTTAGAGAAGCTCTAAAAATATCAATTGTATATTCATATGTAAGGGACGGTTACATGCCGTCAGACCATTTAATCCTATCTACCATTGGATGATGACTTGTATGCTATTGTTTTTAGCAATGGTTAGCCACCAAAAAGATATTAATTATTTTTTGTAAAATAAATATTTAGAACAACAAATCAGGACAAAAGCCATAATAAAATACATTATTATTTATTATTAGGAAAGTTATAGATTGAAAAGTCATTATTATTATGATGACTATTAACATTTTATTTTATTTTTAAATTTTTTACTTAAAATAGTAATTAATTTGTTAATAATTATATTTATTCATATTTTACAAATCATTTATTATCTGATTCAATATTAGGATTAAAAATCAGATCAATAACAAACTATTATTAATAAATTGGTTGCTTAAATAATATTGATTTTAGTATTAGCTATTTAAAAAAAACAACTAATCTTAATATTAATAAAAAATAGAAATCAATCATATTTGACATTTATTGTACTTATAAAATTTTATAAACTTTAAACTTTAGGGTATTGCTAAACATTGTTTAAAAAGATTTTTTGTATGATTTTAAATATTTTAAATAAGTATTTTAAAAAAACTATTATAATAGGAATTTATTTTGGTATACATTTTTATAGTTATACTATTGATATTATAATAGAGTTTTGATAATTTTGAAACATATAAATTAGAATTATCACAAATTAAAAATTATATTATTGTAAAACTTGTAAACTATTTACACAAATATTTTTGTTTGTTTATAAATATGACAGCACTTGTTATAAATGATAGCAATGAATGAAAGTATTGTATGAGAGGACACACACATAATCAAAATCCAAAGTCATTAAATCCACCGAAACCTCCACCAAAACCACCTCCAAATCCACCGCCAAAGTTACTAAACGGTCCGCTTTAATAAAAAAATATTAATTATAATAATCTAAAAATTTAAAATATTATTTTAAAAAATACTTTTTACAAAAAATCAAAACTTACCCAAATTGGTAGGGAATCTGTTGCTGAAAGGGATTATTATTAAAACTCTTTGCGAGCAAAGTTCCGACGAGAACTCCTTTCAAAAACTTTTTGTTTGCAATATATGCGCATTGGATATGAATTTGTAATAAATTTATTATAATTAACAACAATATTGTAAATCTTATACATTGTTTGATATCTAATAAAGCCATTGCAACGAACAGCCATAAGAAGTTGGTATCAAATGAACTATCGATTGACTAAAAGAAACCTTTTTATAACTTTCGTATTGAAAAATAATTTTTTCTATATATATGTTGTAAAATATATTTTTTAAATTATGTGGTTTTCTGAACAAATGAAATGGCAATTAAATAAATGAAGCATTAGTTTTAAAGTGAATTTTTGATATATTTACGCTTCATTTAATTAAATCAAGATATCACATAATTAACATACAGTATATGATATAATGAACGCAATGGTACTATTGAAAGCTTAATTTATTTTTTGTTTGTTTAAAAAGTGCAATTTATTTTAATGATAATACAAAATTTTAAAATATTTTTCCAAAAATATATAAATTGAAAGCAATTAGTATATTTTATTATTATTGTAAATTTATTATTTCTATTATTTTCTTTTGTTGAAAAGCATTGAAAAAACAATAATTTATATATTATTATATGACAACAATGTCATAAAACCATAAATCAAACCATCGAACATTTGCTATCAATTTATAAGATATTTATGTATAATTGAATTTATTTTATTTATTTATAAAATAGTAGAGAAATGCAAAAAAACTTTCATTCATTTTCATTGAAGTAGAAAGTTATGTGGTTTTTATTATGATTAATAATAATAAAAGTATTAACTATATTAACTATAACAAAAACAAAATTACAATACTAGATATACAATATACTATATACTAAGTAATAATATTATATACAGTATAAAATGATTACCAATTATGTTATCACTTAATAAAATTATATAAAAATAAGTCTATCTATATTTTAATTAATATAATTTATATTACATATAATGACGTTTAAATGGCAGTTATGATAATTATATTAATGCAATTATTAAAATTATTTTTTATATTCTTTACCATCAAAAGGACCATTAAATTGATCATCAAATTGGTTGTGTTTGATGTAATTAATGCGATGATTGTGTTTATTATGTCTATTACATCCATGATTATAATGTTTGTGTTGATTGATTTCATATAATTCATAGTGATCTGGTTGATTGCAATTATAGTTACAATTTCTATAAGATAATGATAAGATAAGATAATTTTTTGCAATTATTACATAACAATAAAATATTTTATTATAATTTATTATAACTTACACTATTGGCTGATGATGTACTGGTTCTTCCTTTTTTGTTTCCTGATGTGGTATCGGTAYCGGAATAGGTATTACAGGTGGTGGACCCCTGTATTGTTGAGGAGGTCCCCGGGCCATATTAATTATACTGGCCAATGCTAATCCTTTTTCAAAATTAACAAACATTTATGAATCTCATTGAACAGTTAATTAATATTATAATGAATACCATATAATATTTTTTTGCCACTTTCGCATTCATTTACTAAGACAACGGTCACAATGAAAACATTAGAAATGACAAAAATCCCAAATTTTTTCATATTTATTATTTTTACAAATTTGATCGGTTATACAATATACTCTACTTTAATTAATAGTCAAATAACTCATTGAAACATTTGAATAGTATATATATTGATATAAATTTTTAAATCATATTCAAAAGTAAAAGCTGAAATAAATGACAAATAGTTTTGCATAAATATTTGTGTTATGATTTTATATCAAGTTTTACGATTGAATATTGCCATAATCTAAGTGTAAACTTGCATGAAGTAAAATTTTTATTATTAATTAATATTAATAATAATAATAATAATAATAATAGTTTAAAAAGATAATAATAATAATTTTAATGAATATTTACTTTTACTTTTATTTTTATAAATCTCTTCCTGATTTATTAAATCTAATGATAATAATTAAATACATTTCTATTTCTATTAATTGATATTTATTAAAAACCAATAAATTGGCACTTATTTAGCATTTTTAAATTGATTATTATTTTAAAGCACTTTAAATAGCTGATACTATTTAAAGCTAAGATACCTATGTTTATAACCTTAATGTTACAATTAAGTGAATAACTAGGGTATGGTCACAATTATAGACTCAAATCAATTTTGAATTATGTGTTTGTGTTATGTATTTTTAGCTTATATTTATATATCGCTTATACTATTATATGATACACTACTTTATAATAATTTAAGTCAATATGCACTATAACACAGTTTAAAGTTATAAAAGTTTAAACAATTATGTTTTGTTTGTATTTGGTCATTTATAATAGTTATAAAAATTATAAAATAAAACATTAATAGTTTTATTTAGTCATCCATTATTATTATTGTACAGTATTATACTACACTCGATATAATATATTTTATGACGAGTAAATAATATAACTATTAATTATAATTTATTATTATCAAATTGGCTAATATTATTTTCACATGTTTTCACACATTATTTGTATAAAATATAAATTATTTTAAAAAATATTTTATTAATAAATTATTAATTTTGATTGATAGTTTATAAACAATAGGTTTTTATGGATACAATGTACAGTATTTGACGTTTAATATTGATGTAGAAATCATATCACCAATAGCCACCATTTTGACCATGATCATAGGGTCTATAATGTTTTTTAAAATTAATGTTTTATACATATTAATGATGATTATATTATAAACATAAATGAAAGTTTCGATATAACTCACGGATAAAAGTGTGGATATGAAGGCATTGGGATCTATTAATTTCATAAATGATTTTTATATTTAATGTTTATATTAATGATTAACATTTAATTTAAATCAATTGACTTACAATCTTTGGCTGAGCTATTGGTATTATAATTGGTTGTTGAGGTTGTGGGGGTGGGTAACCATATCCGGGTTGCATTGGCATCTTGTATTGTTTTAAAAAACAAATTAGTATTTATATTTCAACTTTTAATATAAATTAGATTAAATAATATTTACCGGCATTGGTATTGGTAACGGTATATAATTTCCTTGATTATTGTTTCTCATATTGTTGAAGATTATTAAATTAATTTAAATTACTTAAAAAAATAAAAAATATTTTTAATAAGCTTACCTGTTTTGATTTAACAGATTTCCCAACGATAGTAATCCCAAACTTAATCCCAAACTATTGTGTAGTTTTTCAGTTTTAACATATAACTTATCCGACACTAGATATGCCATAAAAACAAATAAAAATGAAAATTGTATTATTTTTTTCATTTTTGAGTTTATTATAAAAATCTATGAACAAAACAAAGGAAAACTATTTTTTATAAAAAATAACAGAAATGTAGAAAAATTCTTTATATATATCGGAAAATTTTGTTATAAAATGTAATTTGATATCATTTATTGATTTTAATTTCTAAATTACAAAATCTATAACAAATATATCAACATTAATGGTGATTAAAAAATCAGATTATGATGTTTTTGATAATTATTTTTTATGTTTGTGTATACTTTTAGTTATCATTTGCTACATAATTTGTGACATATAAACGATCCATTGTTTTAGTCGACTTTATTAGTAAAAGTTATTTGTTTTAACAATTAAGTTTTCTCCAATTTTAGAAATCACTGTAATTTTTATCATATTTAATTGTAAACAGAAACTTAAATTAGAAATAATTGATAAAATTTAACGACCAATTGTTGTTTGTGAACAAATTTCTCATAAATTTAATTTCTATTTTTTGATAGTATTGTAGAGTATTAAGTACAGTACAGTATAAGCAGTTTGTAATATACTTATAATTTTTAATAAATATTTTTAAAACGACTTCATTGACCTAAAGTTAATACTTTTTTTAGGAATTAAGACTAAACTCATATGTCTGTCGACTCGAAGAATTGAATGTCGATATGAGAAAAAAGGTGAAGACATTAGCAATGATTGAGTTGTCGACTGTCCTCGATATGTATGAACTGGAGTTTGAAAAATTAAAGTTAAAAAAATCTAAGAAAAGGATTAAAAGTATATTTATTTTTTATAATATTTTTCTAATTGACATTATTTTTATAAATTAATTTATGTTTAAATATATGACTTCAGAGAACTCGGATAATATCTTGTTTGGTGTTCCACTCATTGACTTACACAACACAGACCTCCGAAGGAACAGTAGCTGTACTTTTCCTCTCATTTTGAATATTGTATGCATTTTTAACAAATAAATATTATTAAAATAATTATTATATTAATATATTTTATCAATTTTATTTGCATTTTATCAGTTATTTAATTACATCCGCAAGAATGGTCTCCACGAAGAGGGTATCTTTAGGATCAATGGTTCCCAGAATAGAGTAATTGTAAGTATTATCAATAGTATCTAATATTATTGGTATAATACTTACCGTATAACTCCTCCCTGGCCATCAGGGGCTATATGTGAAAATGTGAGCAATAAGTGAGATATAGCCCCTACTAAATGTTGATTTTAATGAATTATCAAATACCTCCACTATTAAAATAATTGAAGYTTTTTTRAATGTGTAATTACCCCCCCCCCCTTAAAAATGCTATATTTAATGGTTAATTTTCAATTTATAATGACCAATCGGAAGCTGATTATTGTGTTAATTATTATTACGATCATTACTGTATTATGATATATTTAATTTTATCTATTTTAACACTAATTGCTATTAACTGGCCTTTAATGGTTTCTGATTGAAATAGACCGATCTTACATATAGCCCTATCCCCTAATCGTTCGTTACCCCATGACTTCACATATTGCCCCAGTAGGGGSTATTTGTGAGATACAGCCCCATACCAAATGTTGATTTTAAATAAAAAAAAATATGCGGGTCTATACGGTAATAAAATTTCTATAATTTATTTAATAATTGTTAATTTGATTGACTAATAGATTCTTAAACAAGAGTTGGGACGACTGTTTCAGACATTATATAACAATYCAATTTCTGAAACCGATTGTATTGACAAAGTTTTTACAATATTAAACGATTACAGTATTTACGATATCTGTAGTCTTCTTAAGCAACTCATACGTGAACTTCCGGATCCACTTCTTACACAAGAACTACTCGAAGCTTTCCTATTAGTGCCAAGTATTCAACAAAAATAAATAATTTAATTCTAATATTTGATTAATTATTGTTATAATTTATAAAGAAATTACAGATTTTTTGCAACAAATTCAAGTCTTAAATTTATTAATATTACTTATTGATGAAAGTCATCGAAACACATTAGAGGCCATACTATACCTATTTAATGACATCATAAACCACGAACACCTCAACAAAATGAGTGCCCAAAATGTGGCCACTATTATGGCACCCAATTTGTTCCCTGTTTTAGCTGAAAAGAAAAGACTACCAAAACAACACCAACCTATGGATGGACTCAAAGAAATGGAGTATATTATGGAAAGAGCTAAAGACAGCTTCCATATCACCAAAACTCTTGTCTATAATTATGGAGTTTTGTTTCATGTAATTAATATTAATTTTTTTTAAATATAAAAAAATGTAATAATAGTATTAACCTAATTATCTAATTATCTATAAACAGGTGCCGCCGTACCTCATCGCACAAATACAGAGAAGAAAAAAGTGATTGATTTTAAAATAATTGTTTTATTGGATTACAAATATTTTTATCATTTATAGTCACAAAAATTTGCCATTTTTAATATAATCTATATTTTAATATACAATTGATTAACAATATTGTCATAAATATATTTAGTTGTATTCAAATATTTTATGTTCATTTTAATATAATCTATTTTATATTATAAATTATTTTCATTGTGTATAAATAAAATTATAATACTTGTATTTATAAAAATACTACCTGTAATTTCCAAAATTGATAAAAATTTAATAATTGGTACCACCAATTTGTTTGCATTGCAAATATTGTACATCTTAATAGATGATTTAGTTAAGTATTAAAAATTTTAATTTAAAAAAGTAATTTTATTATTATTATTATTAATAATACAAGTTTACATTTTTCTTCAATTTTCACACATTTTATAATTTATTAATATATAATATTATTAGACCAGTAAAATAAAAAATAAATGAATTGTAAAATAAATGAATTAATTAAATAAATGTATAAATATTATAAAAATGATGATTTATAATAAAATAAATATATTTATGCTATATTTGAAATTTAAACAAATTACAAATYATTGTTTGGAATAATATACACAAACACCGGTAGTATTCATCCATTACTAATGAGTCTTATAATTATKTTTAAAACTCTTATATTTTATATAAATTGAACAATTTGTGTTAAATTATACTTAAAATTTAAAAAAAATAATAATATTTATGTAATTAAATATAGTAAAGGTTTGTAGAGATAGGACAGGTATAGCATTGGAATCATAARACTTWAATAAGATTTAATTAATTATTTTTACGTCAAATAGTAATACAATAATTATGCGATTTCCGTTATTTCATATTTACTGAAAAATTTAGTCCTAAATAATAAATGTTAAAATAAAAAGTTTTAATTTACTTATTTATCGGTTAATAGCTTTATTTTTTTGAATAATGTTTTATAATTTTGAGGTAAACTTATTTGTGTTTTATTATTAATTTTTAAAGTTTATTAAAATTAATAACTACTTTACTATTGCTAAAATAAATAAACAGTTAATTATTTTAATTAAAATGAATTTTTATAAAGTTAATCTTGAAGTTAATCTTTTCTAATTTAAAAAATACACAATAATATAATAATTTAATTATATTTTTTATGTATTATACAAATAAATTTAATGCTTAAAACAACAAGTAATCACTAAAAAATAAATAAATTGTACTACCATTTGACAAAATAATTAAAAATATTAAGTTAAAAAATATGAGTTTTATAGTAATATAGTAGTAATTAATGATTTGCACRAATTTATCTTATGATTTATTTAAATACACGATTTGTAAATGACTTCTGTATAAATAAAATAAATGAAAAATAAATATTAACTGTAAGTAAGTAATGTTAATTAAAAAATAAGACTTATTTAAGTACCAAATATAAAAAATTTGTTGTAGTTTAAGGCTAACTACCAATAGTTATTGCCATATCCTCCATAGCTATCATGAATGCTATATAAAAAAATGAAATAGCAAAAAATTAATTAAATAAATAAATAATATAATTGTAACAAACTATTAATCATAAAATAATAATAATATAGATAGAAAAGGAGTAACATTTTTGCAAATAATTTTTATTGCTTAACATTTTCTTACATAATTGTATACATTTTTTATATAACAAACATTTAGAGTTGTATTGTATTTTTGTTTGTCCAACACTTCCGTACTTTGGTTACAATTGCACTCATTTTTTGAACAAAACATTTTAACAAAAAATGTCTTATTTATCAATAATGCATATTAAATATATTACTTTACTAAATAATTTTTATATTATTCAAAATCACAAATTAATTCATTAGGAAATTAAATTAACACTTTATGGATATCATTATTAGTTATTATTATTTAGTTGGTGTTAACCAACAGTAAATACAATAGAAATAATAACTTTTTTACTTAAAAACTACATTTTTGGTTTCAATAGTGTGTTAAACCAAACTAAAGTAGGTATCATTATTGTAGTAGTAGTGCCGTAAAACTTCACACAAAGATAACTAACAAACGATGGACTAATAGGTAACTGTGACCTATTTTTTACAGTTAACTATCGTTTTATTTTTGTGGCCTAACTATTGTTCAGCACATTTCACATATGAACTAAAGTTACGCTAAAGTAGTCTAAAAACAGTGAAGTTTTTTCTCTCTCTCCCCTCACATAAAATCAATGGCTGAGCTCTCCGTTATATAACTTGTTATATGAATGTCAATGAATTGGCAACACTGTCCTTGAAGGCCAGTCCAGTCTCCTCTCTTACATAAGACTAAAATTACTGTAGATATGGTACACTTGAAGTGAAATATAAAATTCAATTTGTTTTTCAATACATCAAATATATATGTAAATTGTCTGTTAATTTAGATTTTGTCAAAGTTTACAGATTATGTAAACCAGAGCAGTGGTCAATAAATTGATATTATAACATAAAAATTAAATTTATTTTATTACAATAATTTTATGAATGACTAAATCTAATTTGATATATCTATTAATGATAAATTGAATATATTTTTAAAATATGTTATTTAGTCGAATCTCTCAACAATTACACAATATATATGAGACAACATTGAAAACGTTTAGCCAAACAAATGTCTCATATTATGTCTTATCAGTCGTGACCTATCAATGCCCTCGTTATGCATCACAACATGTGTTTAAATATTTACTTTCAATCGTATTTATATATATCAATCAATGTTAAGATTGAAATACAATTCAAAACATTATAATAGTTTTAGTAAAAAAATGATTAAACTTAATATAATTATAACAATAATTGTTACATTATATAAAATGACAAATAAAGCATTTTTTATTCTAATATTTCTATAAATCTAAATGCATTATCAAGAGGACAATTAATTATTTATAATTTTTTATTTTATATTTAAAATCTAATATATTATTATTGCAAACATATTACTTGTATAAAACAACATAAATATATTTTGTAATCTAAATCATTTCATAGATTGGTTATGTTTAGACAAGTTGTCAAAATAATAACTAAAACAACTATAAATATATTGATATAATGACTTAAATAATTTAAAAATGCAGAATATACAKTATATAATATGGCATATTTAGCATTTATACAAATAAAAGATTATGTAATACTTACAATACAGGCTCTGGATATGGCTTATAGACGGGGTATGGGATGGGCTCTGGATATGAATGGGACACATGTTTCTCAACTTTGAACGGTATGGGAATCTTCAACAAAAAAAGAGGAGAAAAGAGAGCAGACAACAGATTAGATGTTTATATAAATAAAAAACGATTGTTATATTGAATTGTCTACCGATTGGACAGACACTTACGGGAATGGGAATAATGGTCTTCTTGGACTTGAGTGCTGCGCCCAGTAATAAAAATTTGGCCGCTTTTAGTATTTTCTTCTTTTTGCTGCACTGTCCGCCTTCAAAGTAGTAGGCGCTCAACAGTATGTATGCAAACATTATAAATAAAAATAACTTAATTCTCATTTTTGCGGATTTTTTATCAGTATTTTCACTTCACATATAAACAAAAATTGTTGTCCACTTAAACAAATAGCAATTTGAAAAACAAATTAAACAGTTATTATATATCAGAGTAAATATCATTTAGAAATTGAATGATATTTTTGAAAAATCACTTTCATTTATATAGTAAACTGATTGGGTTTGACCCGTCAGTTCCCGCCCGCTTTCTCTTAGCTTTCAATACATTTATATTGAATCACAGTTTTACTGGGCATCAGATGGTCTCAAATGTAGGACAACGTTAGGAGAAAACGAAACGATATGTTGCATAACATTTGATTGGGAAGTCCCAGCACTTTGAGAAAGCGCTAAAACACTTTTATTTAGGCCTACAATACATGTCATATCAATACCATTCACTTTCTCACTCTTACTTTTAGAGCTTATAGAGAGTGAAAACAGGGAGAAAAATAACACCACACCTGACTGTCCGCACATATAATGTCTGCAAAATTCACGTATAAGTCGCTCTCTAATAAAAAAAATAAAAAAAATAAATATATATTTGTTTTCTATTAAATTATTTCACTCGTTAAATAAATTTTGGGATATATGTATTAAATAATATATAACTTTTGTATTTAATTTATTTGACATTCAACATTTTAATGCATTTCAAAAAAATAAAATAATCAATTAACGCACGAAAACATTTATGTTTATTATTTGTTTAAGTTTCCGCAAACATTGCACACAAATCTGTTAACAAAATACCTCAAGTTTTAGATTTAACTAACATTAGATATGTTAATGTTTAGAGTATCAGTTTATTGTCATAATTACACACAATATATAAGTTATCAGTATAACTAATAAATTATATTGGATCTTTTTTTATATAATAAAACTAGAGATATAAAATATAATGCATTTTTTTTGTTTATGTCTTGAAGAGTACTTTTAAAACTTTTAGCATTAGAAAAAATTTTACAATTATATAATATATATACATAATAAATTTGTTAAATTTATTTTTTTTTATTTTTTTTATTATTTATACATTAAAAAATAAAGTTATAACAAATTTTTGTGAAATATCAATGATTTAATAAAAGAATAGTTTACAAACAAATGTCTTACAAAATGTAATTAATAATACTATTATTTTATTCAAAAAGCATAACTAATTTATTGTTTATTCTTTACAAAACAATATACAATATTATATCAAATAAAAAATTAATTGCCCACACATTAAGTGTTTTATTATATTTAATGTAAAGGATGTAAATGTTTAATCCATAAATAAATTAATCGTAGATTTATAAATTATGTGTAATTTAATACAATATATACTAAATACACAAAAACCAAAACAATGTATTTTGGATAAGTATGACTTAAATTTAAAAAATAATTCATATTGTTTAATATAACATCTATTTTACAATATTTTTATATAAGTATATGAATTATATGAAGTAATATATTAATAGATATTAAACTAGATTTTTGTAAAATTTAATATTTATAAAATTTAAATTTGTTTTATATAAAT